GGGCAGGCAGATATTGGTCCCTTATGCTCTCTGTTTCATATTGTTGAGTTTTTCAAATTTACTTGATTGAAGGTGACAAATTGAAAGTACTCTGCGCACTGACTCATTTGCCTTCAATTTTAACGCAGTACTTGTAGCCCCTGCAAACAGTTATCTGTCTCGCAGAACTGAGAAGTTGCTGAGAGAAAACGTCAGAACACATCAACTTGTTGCTTTTGAGGCTGCAACCTTACACAACAGTTTCTGTACAAGCCCCAATCCAAAAAAAGTGTAACACTGATTGGGGAGTGAATGAAAACAGATTTTTGGGGGTTGTAAATCATTTAAACCTGATATTCCATTGAAACTTGAGCAAAGACAACATGTCAGATGTTGAAAATTAAAATGCTGGTTTGTGAAAAATGTGAATATGATATTTCAGCTGCTCAACAATAAAGGTCCCCCTTGGCGCCATGTTTTAGAGTCAAGATGATCCAAATGTTTTCAGTGGGTGACAAGTCAGGACTGCAGGCAGACCAGCTCATCAGCAGGAGTCTTCTACAACAAAGCCACGTTGTTGTAAAATGTGATTTGTCTTTGTCTTACTGAAATATGAAGGTCTTCCCTGAAAAAGTCATTGTCTGGATGGCAGCAGATGTTGCTCCTAAACCTGTATGTCTTGTTCAGCATTAATGGAGCCTTCACAGAAGCTACCAAGACATGGACACTTACAATCCCCATACCATCAGGGATGCTGACTTTAAACTATAGACTGATCATGTCCTTGATTTCAAAAAAGAATGTCACACTTTGATCCATCAGACAACAGGACAGGTTTTGACTTCTCCTCAGTTCAACTTAAATGGGCTCAGGTCCAGATATGGTTTATTTGAAAGGTTTTTTGAACTCGTTTTTCAGAGTTATTTTAAATGATTTTCACTCAGGAACATTACTCTGAAAGTATTGAACTATTTGCTCATGCAGTCTTAGTCATGTTACTGACATGACTGTTGGAAATGAACCTCATCAGTCCTGAGATATTCATCCACCTTTGTTTTTGTTTTTTTTGTTTTTTTCTCGGTATTACACAACTTTTTCAGTGTTTCATTGTTCCTGTACCAACTTTTTATACCTGTTGCTAGCATCAAATTTAAAATTAGCACATATTGTCTTTGTAGTTTTCTGTTTCAATACTTCTGGAATGCTGCGTGTTAAAAACTTATTTTCTACTGTTTTCTAAGCAGTTTGAGTAGTGGCGTTAGTTCCCCCAATAAGACAACACATATGTGACCATGTTTGGCATTTCCTATTTTTAAACCCCAGCACATCAGTTATCCGTCAAATGCGGAGAAAAGAAATACCCTGTGGCACATATTTTTGCTCTCTGCTCTTGAATTTCTTTAGGAGGTGACTTAAGGCCACACGTTGTTCAAGTAAGCCAAAGTCTGGGACAATGACTGCATTCATCTCTGCTCAGCTGTGGGGTCCTTTTGGGAGCTTCTGCTGATATACAGTCCTGATGCTATCTCTGTTGTTGTAGTCCCCACAAAACAAGACAGGGTTTACAACGTCACATGGTCAGGCACGAAGCCTCACATGATGCTGAGAAAACACGCTGTGGTGTGGGCTATAAAGGTCATTTAGAGAGGCCCAGGAGGTAACCTGATAAAATCACATAAATTTTATTTTCAGTCAACTTTACAGAAGCTGGATGAAATTTTGTGTTAGTGTATCCTGTTTCAATTTCCAAATATTTCTGGCGGCCAAACCCATAAAAAAGTCATGTTTCTGTGCAGAGAAACGCCCCCCTTCTGTTCCTGTTTGACTTCAGCTTGAAAACATTCACACACTGTTTCATATTAAACTGCCAGATTTACCGCAAACAGTGTAGGAAAGAGAGTGACATGCTTATCATATTTACAGCCTCTGCAAGGAACCGCAGCACGTTGAGCAATGGTGCGAGAAAATGGGGGTTACATGAACATGCTCTCCCTGATTTAACGGATTAGAAATGAGTCAACTCCTCCATAGCTCAGTTTTGCATTTCTTTGAAATGCTCAAAGACTCAAGATGACTGATGGCTCCACTGTATAAAGGACGTATGATTAAATAAAATCTACACTACAAATCTCAGACTAACTAACGGTCTTGTGTTCTTGCTTTGACAAGAATGTTTTAATCCCAAAAACAACAGGAGCTTTTAGCACAGCACACACCTTTTAGCCCTGGAGGGAACCTGGAGCCCGGGAGGCGGTGTGATCGTTGACTGGTATTTGGTATTTACGAGCTGACAAGTGTCATATCTGTACAATGGGTTAATCAAAGGTTAAAAGTATCTTCATTGTGCTTCATTTACACAAAAACAACTTTGTCATAATAACAGGAGTGTCTGAGCGTTTAACTGAAAGGAAATCCACATTCAGGTGTTAATTACAGTATTTCTGCAGTGACTATATTCAGCCCTAGCTATAATTTAAAGATATTTGCTGTTTTTTTTTTACTGTATGGGGTTTATATAAGGTCTGTATATTATCATATTAGGCCTGTCATGATATCAGATTTTCACCTCACATTTATTGTGGACATCAGGTTTTTACAGTAACAATATTATCACAATATTTATGTAAAACTATCAGCAATTGTGAGGCAACACATTACCCTGCAGACATTATGAACAGCAATTAATGTACATGTTAACGTCCATTTGGAATGATGTTATAATTTATGATATATCCACGTCACCAGTAATGGATGGGGATTGAATACTAATACTATTATAGAAACTTCTTAAAGATCTGAGCCCTTATCAATGCCGCTATTAAATTTGATCTATTATTGTTTCCCTGCAAATGATTGTATTCATACAGATTTTTTTTTTCCTAAAAACTAGCAGCAGACCGTGGATGAAGTTGTTTCATCCCACAGATGTTTAAAGATACTGCAGGTACTTTGGTTTGATTTGATGCACAGTACTGATGTGGTTGGCGATGGAGGTTGTGTCCTCCTTTGCGAGAAAACATTTTGCATTATAAATTGCATTTTGCTTCATCTCCATCTTCAGATATCATGCAGCCACTCTTTAGACCTCTTGCACGTTTAGCAGACCATTTGGAGCTGAAATACTACACAAACTCAACACTCCCTGGTCATCGCTCTGGAGCAATATGGCACTGGCCCCCACCTTACTGGCATCGATGTGCAGCATGAAGGCTCTGTCAAAACAAAGAACAACCAGAACAGGAGACCATCCCAGCAGAGATGACATCTTGACATTTGGAGTCCCAATCAAATCTAGTCTTGGATTGAGGAGCTCAGTAAAAGGGAAGGCAGTGGTTGAAAAGTTTACAGAAACTCTTGTAATTCCCCAAAAGCCCTTGAGTTCTTTCTTGGTAGTAGGCAATGGATGCTTTGGTAAAGCCAATTACCTTGGCACATTTGGTTATATTAATAGTCATAAGTGCTTTAGCCAAATGATCAAAGAGTGCATGGATAAGATCAAGATGGGTATGCCAGGCATCACTAAAACAACCTAATAAAATAACCTAAAACACAAGATAAACCGGGCAGCCTTTCAAACCAGAAACCACACAGTTCATCAGACACTGAAATGTCCCAGGGGCATTTTTAAACCAAAAGGCATGACCTCGTAAGAGTAGAGGCCAGATGGTGTAACAAATGCTGCAATTTCCTGAGCACGCTTCAACAATGGAAATCGCCAATACCGTTTTAACAAATCGAATTTGCTAACAAATTTAGCGGACCTCACTTGATCTATGCATTCATCCATGCATGACACTGGAAACGAGTCATATTTTGTCATTGAATTAACTTGTTTAAAATCGGTACAGAACCATAGTGATCCATCCTGACATTTACCAAAATACAGGTAAATGTCCAACAAGATGTAGGCAATGTTATTTTTCAGCATGTATGCAGCCTCAAAATTCAACTAATCACACTTATAATAACAATCACACAGTCGGTGATCCACTGTAAAATTGTTGTTTTATTGGCTGTGAGTCCCCAACATCAATGTCATGCTCAGTATAATCCATTTGTGAGGGAATGTCACCAAACAAACAAGGTTATTTACTCACCAGTTTAGCCAGCTCTGCACATTAAGACCTAGGCAGATGAGCAAACAACTTTTCCAAGTTACCAAGTGTTTCTAAGTTTTTCAAACACCCATACAAGACATGTTTAAAGATGCAAAGTAATAGATGCTACCCATAATGCACCTTTTTGACAGTCTGTTTCTGGCTCTGACTGTCTCAGTTTTTGTTCAGTCTAACTGACTGGTGACAAGTATCCATTGTACAATGACAGTAAAAAAAATATAGTATTCTATTCTATTCTAAAGTTAAACTACTAACCAATTTTAGGAGAAGTGGACCACCATCTACCAAGCTCTGTGGGAAATTTTTGGTCAAAAGAGTCAGAAAGCTTTGAAGAAAAACATTTTTCAGCTGTTTTTGGTAGATCACCAGTTGAGCTCAGAGCTTAGATAACAGGACCCATGGGCAGAGGTTATAGCCCTTAAAGTGAGTGGCCTAAGTGGTTTGATCTCATCCTATAGCTTGTTGTCTTATGTCCTTCCCCACTTTCCTCCCATTGTTCCTCCTCTGCTATCTTTTCTCTTGATAGAAGCATATATTATGTAATTATGAAGTTGAAGTAAATAATAGGGGTTTTAAATAGAACAATTAAGGCAAAAAGAATCAAAAAGTTCTTCAATAAACATCAGCTTTGTAACAATGATAAAAATGATGAAACTGATGCTAATAAATACACATTATTTGCTTATACATGAAAGCAGGCAGGCCCATGGCAGGAAAAAGTCTGCAGCAGTGATCCAGAGGGGCCTACAGGATGATGGAGTTCAGGGGCTCTAAGAATAAATGGTGATTAGTGACTTCAATGGGACACGATGTCACAGACAGAAAGAGGGAAGAGAAGGAGGGATAGGTGCTCAATATGCACTGTGGGGGAGATATACTCTCTCCTCCTGGCTCTGGTCAGTTCTTGGGTTGGGACAAATTCATGGAATAGTTTGTCTCTGTCGCTCTGAGACAGGATGTTTCTGGTTTTTAGCAATATTGCAGAGGTGAAGAAGGCGTGTTTGTACATGTTTGAGTGTATTCTGGCCTATACATGTGAAGAATATCTCAATGGAGTATAAAATTAATTTTGCTTTGAAAATTGATGAAGTATATTTAGAAATAAAATTGAAGAGATGTTAAGAACTTGTTCCAGTCCCTAAAATTTGATGCTACACAGAGAAAAAAATATAGGGCAACACACTCAGAAAATATTTGAAAAACACTGATATTAATCAGCAACAACCACAGTAAAAGCCTGTGAAATCCTGAAGCACTGAAGATTTGTTTAAGAGCCTCATTTTACCCTGATCCAAACTTCTAATGGTTATATTATTACACAGATTCATCTGAGGCTTTCCTTTTTTTTCGGTCCAATCTTCCTCAAGTCTGACAAACAAACACTTGCTTGGAGCTCTACTTCAATGGTGGGATTTCCTGCTTGTGTCTTATCAGTCCGATCCTGAAACAATGGACTCTGCCCACGCAAATTCATGCACCGGGTCTGTCTGCCCTGAGTGCTGCTGTCCTCTTTGTGGCTTTCCCCTCATGGCCAGATGTCCCTTTCTGGGCTGCAGCCAGTGAATTAAGAGTAAAAAGCAGGAAGAATGACTCAAAGAATCAGATAGTGTCCGCCATCGCTGTGCTTTAGATTAGCATTCAGCACGACTGGGATACAGTGAACCTCCAGAGCAGATAACTCAAAACACTTGTGACTACTGCCTTAGGGGACAGCCTAATGGATGGCAGACAGTGCAGCTGGAAAAATATAATAATTTTCATATGTCAGCCATAAAAAGATCTCCATGCATTAACACGTACAATATGGGAGCCTACAACTGCACATGGTGGAGGTATGCTGTGTAAAAAAGGCCAGACAGTTGTCTTTGGGAATTCAATATACACATTTTATTTACATTGACACATGTATGAGCAACACATCAAATATACACAGGAACACTCAAGCCTCAGGTTTAATAAATATGTAGCAAAATGCAGGAAAACCTCATATGAAGGGAGGAGAAGTGAGACAGGAGACAAATAACTATTCTGAAACGTCTCCTATCTGGTTGCACAGTCTTGTAATGAGATTTTTATTGACATTTTTCTTGAACCGGGTGATTACACTGAGAGATTTTATGCTTGATAAGTGAACTTGAAAACCTGTTGTAACGGACAAATCAGCCAAAATGAAAACATCTGTTTCCACAAAGAAACACAAGCAGCTTTTCCAGTTGCATCTACAGTTTGAAACATTTACACACATAAGAAAATACAGCATAATAAAACTCTGCATCAGTGTACCTTCAAAAGCATTAACATTTTAACATACGCACATTTATATTTACAAGAAAAAACGACAACATTGTAAGCGGTAAGGGTGTGGGGTTTTAGTCACCTAAACTATGATGAATCTTTCGTAGTGGCACCTCTTACAGCAAATATCCTGCAATCACACAAACATGCACGCACAGAAACACACCTGCTCATACACACAAACGGGACACTTTCCTAGTGCTTCTCACAACAATATTAAGCAGTAGGAAGAGAGGGTCTGATAACGGTCTCGGGCAGTGTGGGGGACTGGCTGAGAGGGGCTGGAAGTCCCATGTGACGGAGGATGCAGCTGGAAGGAGAGTCGGGAAAGTAGCAGGAACAATGAGACACCGACTCACCAGGACTGAGCTCTGTGTAAGTGTCAGTATGTGAGACCCTATCCAGACCCTACCCCTTCCTCTGACTTTGACTCAGATTTCTGGAGCTACCTTTTAGACCCACTCCAGCATTTTGGCATTTTCTGATGTTTGACATTATTCAGAATCATTACTGCAACTTTATTTGGAGTCTAAACTAAGTCCAAATGTATAAAAATTAATAAGAAAAAGCTATGTCATGGGTTTAAGGGCACCTCTCTCCAGTAAAAGACATGTTCCCTTTGCCGTCCAGGTAGGAGCAGGAGGGCATTGGGACTGCACATGCAAACAGAGGTCAAAAGAGCCAGATTGATACCAAATAATATTCTGAACTACTATAAACTCTGACTCCAGGAAAAAGGGAGACAGGCAAAATATGGTGGGGTAAAACCCAAAGAGGCCGAAAGCAATATCTAAAAAAACACCCACCTGAACACTTTTCTTTAAGTAATAAAAATGTAATAAAAGTTGTTTATGTCCATCTATCAATGTCAAAAACACTTGAAAACGCCTGCTGGAGTGAGACTTAAATGATATCCATCTCTGTGGCTTTAACAGCTCTCGTTAAGCCACAACAGAAAGTTCCTGTTTCTTGATTCTTCATGACGAGAAGGAAGGTGAAAAGCAGATCTCAGAAATGACAGTACCTATCTGCTGCTTGTAAACATAGATCATAAACTGGATGTGGCAGGAAAGCAAACACCATAAAACCTGAAGAGTTATTTACACCTTTACAAGAGAACTCTCCAGCAGTCCAGCTGTCAAAAAGTGAAACTATACACCTGTGAGACGTGCTTAAGAGCCTAAACCAACGCCAAGAGTCTTAGTCAACTCTTCCCATCTCATCATAAAGCAATGACTAACATCATTACACACAGATATGTACATATTTACAGTCAACAGTGTGCTTTAGCTACACCATTTCCCATGGTTTAGGTTGACAGATCCAGTAAAAAAACTTGTTAGTACTAAGGTTCAGACATTGAACAAAGAAAGAGCAGAAATGCATTTTCGAATTACGCACTCATGGACTCTAAAGGTGTGCTCAGACCAAAAGTGACAGACTTTTTTCCTCTTTTTAATCGCGCATGGTTGAGGCTAAGATCAGTTTTAGGGAATTATTTGTCAAACACAAACAGCAAATATGTGTCCTTTGAAGAAATGTCTAAAACCAAACACAGTTATGCAAGGCTCCTTAAACTCTACTTTGGATGAACAGAGTTTACACCTGAATTCAGTTTACTGCCACTTTCAGCTACTGGAGGTTGACCCAGTTGCAATTAATGGATGTCACAGAAAAGAAACCAAATTAAGTATATTTTGATGCACGTTTATAAAAGTAAAAATGCAAACCTTGTCAGGTATGTCTGCACGATGAAGAGCAAACAACCTTTAAATTGCATGTTTCTTGAATAAGGTTTGGCTGCAGCACGGCTTACACTTCTAGAAAATCGTGAAATCTCAATGCTGATTGGCTCTCTAGACATCATCACCCAAAGTTTCTTGCAGGGGTTGACTTATATCAGCTCAGCTAAATGGTAAGTCGAGCCTTCAGGTGTAAATTTGGTCAGACTAAGTTAGAAAATTCCCTCTGCTTTTGGTCTGAACTCGCCATAAGCATGACCTCCCATGCTGTCTAATAGCTTATATACCAGTGTTTCCACATCTACATTTAAATTGGCCCCCCACAAAGTGTCTCCTTCATATAAACATACATCTGAATGGTTGGTAATAATACTGACAATAATGGAGTAAAAAAATAAACCAAAGCTGCTTTTACTTTATGTTTGATGTGAAGTTCAAGTGCCTGGAGTGCTTACTTTTTCCTCCAAAAGATGCAACAGCCAACCACAATAAAACGCTACATAAATATCTATAACAGGAAATAACAAAGAATAGCAAACAAACAAATACAGTCCAGTAAATAGCTAGGAGTATACTGCAGGCTAAAAAACACAACCTTTCTGAAATGTGTGGGAAAAAACAGGTCTGAACATGATGGATAACCGTGTAGGCATGTCCTCAATGACAGTCTCAGAGTAACAGTTTATTTCATTCCTCCGTCTCTGGCTCCTGATCAGTCCTTTGCTGTTAGCGGGGCAGCATTAGTCCGACTGTCCCTCCTATAATAAGCAGAGGTGATAACAACAATAAAGCCATTCCTCTCTTGTTGTTCCATCTAATTTTGGAGGGAGATTGCCATCTTGTCTGCAGCATGTTCAAACACAGGCTGCTGGGACCGGGGTGGTGGGCGGCTGTAGTGGTTAGGTGGTTTGTGGTTGAACATCACAGGCACTTTTATGAGGCAGCCAGACCGGTCGGACGAGTCCTCACACTCGTTGGGCTCTGAAGGTTGTGCCCTCCAGGAAGACCTCGTGCTGGACCAGTAAGGGCTGGGCCGCCGGGCCGTTACTGCCAGCTGAGTTTGGTTGGTGGAAGGCTGAGCTGAGGGGGCCAGGCTCCTCCCTGGTTCTGGGTGTGGTGGGGACCCTGGAGCTAAAGTTCAGGTAAATCTGAGAAGGAGAGAGGGAGCTAAGTATGAGATTACATTTTTTTATAGTGTCTCATTTTGACAGATTCAAACTCCTCTAACAAATATCAGGATTCACCCTTTAATGTATCATTTGCAACTTTGGTGTTTATTAGCACTGTAACATCCTGCAGATTAACATAGAAGTTAGCTAGAGGTTCATTAGAAGTGTCTTAGCTGCCTCCCTTATTCCAGGCTATGTTAAGTACTTGAACATTTTCACTACAGACGGGCCTATAGTTGACTTAACAAGCAGACAACCCCACCCTCGCTGTCAGCACCAGATCTAGAAGTCAGTCAAATAAATTATTCATTTTTTTTGTTGTCATAGTTGTACTAAAATTCCATCCATATGTTTTGTCTACTAGCTGGGCCTGTAGCTCTGGTTGCTGGTGAATGCCATAATTCTATAATAAATAAACCAGCACAGATGATGGATGGGATCTTGTAGCATGGCACATTTTGGCAGAATTGTGGATGTTGGATGGGATGGGTCAAATTTGTCCCATCTCAAGGTTGGGTCCTTAAAATACCCCGAACAAGGAGTGCGGTCTAGACCTGCTCTTTCGGAAAGCATCTTGGGATAACGACTGTTGTGATTTGGTGCTACATAAGTAAAAACTGATTGATTGATTGAAATTAAATTGTGAACAATAATATGACAATAAGCTTGTATTTAGACAAGTGTCGAGACTGTGCAGACACATCAAGGCATACATTAACCTGCAAGTAGACCCGCTAGCTTTGCTAGCGTTTGCAGCACAGGCAAATAAACTTAGCGCTTAGTTGTATTATGAAGTTGCATATAAACAACTAGGAAATTAACCGCATGCGAAAATCCTGCAACCGTGTATCTGAGACACTTTGCTTTAGTAGAAGCCACAGTGCTTTCCTTAAAAACCAAGATGGTTTGGATGGCTGAGACACTGATGGTACTTGGTTATGTTTTTATAGTTTCTGTGGAAATCAGTCAAAATAAACCTCAAAGGATGAAAACACCTCTATTCAGTGGGTGAAAGTGCAACTTGGACCCTTTTACTTTGCTGTTTTGAAACCAGCACTCCAAAAACAATACCTGTGGTATCACATTTTCATTTATTGACTTCCTGTTTTGTTCCCAGTAGAGTATTAATGTTTCAAAAATGCTTTTGGGGGACTAGAATAAAAATATTTATCCACTTTGAAATTAGATTTCCCACCCGTTTTTAGTCACACAGAGCTTTATCTCATGTCTCACAACAGTCCAAAAGTATCAACATGATAGTGATGCCAAAATTTCAATCCTTAGAAAGTAAACCAAGCAATCTTTGCAAAATGAAATTATCAACAATTATCAGAGACAACTATCAAAGCTGGTTTGTTGTGAGAGGACAGTTATGAGAGCATACAAGGATCTAGTATGTGATGGGTAAACCAATTGAGCGGAGAGTTCAAACACATCTGCTCCTGCTGTGAAGGCACCAGACATATATCTGAAATATGTATGAGTACACAGGAGGGGACTGTAAAAGTGTTTTCCCATGAGAAGTGAGGAAAGAGTCTGATGAGCAGACAGCATGCATCTGAGCAGGGTTGTTTCCAAAGTGAGCCGCGGTGTTAAATGGCTTAGGTTTAGTGGATAGCACAGAGACCAGTGCTGAGTTACATGTTGACAAACATGGATAATCATTTCTGTCTGAGTTTATTGATGCTCAAAGACAGTGTCAAAGTTATCAAGAGCCTGCAGTCATGTTTAATCCTGCTTAAAGTACAAGTGGCTCATTGTTTTAAAGGAGTGGACTTTTGAACCTTATGAGTGAATAACATACAGTAAAAGAGGAGAAACCTACATGCTTGGTGGTGTCTGACAGCTGCTGCTCAATCCTTTCTACCACCTTCCTGAAGGGCGGCCTGTTGAAGGGGTCAGCGTCCCAGCATGACCGCATAATCTGATACCTGTAGGAACATAAATACATTGATTTGACAACTTTCTTTACAGCCATTATATTGTGTCACTCTTTGAGTTCCAACTTTATGAGTTACATCATGTTAGTTTCTGATATATGTGAAAGAAAATACAAGTGAATCTCTTATTTCGCAAATGTAAAAAGTCCTGCAACCTCTATCCTGTTAGTTACATTTCTCTGCAACACCTTTTACACAAACCAATCATAAAATCCATTAGCTATTGTCTGTTGACGATCTTTTCCCAAAGGCAACAATGGCCAACATTTCAGTCTTCTTGTTCAATCCAATGGGTTTCTGGCAGAACCTCCTTGTCTGTGTACTGCATGTTCACTGTGCATACATCAACTTGAGAGTCCCAGTTTCACTGTAATTACCAAGTTACACAGAGTCTTGACTTGAGTTCAGCTACTGGAGCCACAGACAGAAACTTATTTATTTGCACCTACTGGTTTTAAAGTTGCAGTGTGTAGAAATGGAAATATTTAGTAAAATCTTGCTGTCAGATTCTAGATCGGCATGCTCCCTTGCTCATCTGTCCCCTTGGTTGAGCAATGGCAGCCTGTGATGCATGATAAGTATGATCCCTGATCTGTGAACTTTTGCCATCAAAAATGTCAGTAATAGGGGTGCAGTTCGCGAAGCTGTTCAAGTGGTCCATGCTACACTAGTTACATGATCCCACTCCCATTATTGGCCTGCAAATGCCTGCAAATCCTGCCATAATAATATAAGTGTGCATCATTGCAGACTTGCTACTTAAGGGCTGAACGGTCCACTCGCCTTCTGCACTTCGTGGTTTGGGACAGCCTTCAATATGGCGAAGCCTCCACGGGAATGCGCAAATTGAGGGCGGGTGTGTGGGGCATGTGTGTAGGGGTCAGATTGGGATTGGGCCAATTTTTCTATTTGAGTTATTGTAAATCAATTTAACACACTTCTACATTTGTTATTCCATTACTACCAACCAATTCTGTTAAATGTCCAACCCATGAAGGCAGATATTATATTTTCACGTTCGAACAGTAATTGAGGTTAAACAAAAACTAAATTTAAATGTAACAACTCACATTTCACTAGGTGCGAACTCTGGAGCATCCATCCTGTATCCCTCTTTAATCAGTTTGTAGAACTTGGCGTCCACCGGCATGCGGGGGTAAGGACTGTTTCCTGCATTTACCAGAGAGATTCAGTAACTTTATACATGCAAAAATATAAACAGCAACAACAACGAAAGACTGATGGGTGAACTGACTCACCAAGAGAGAAGATTTCCCAAAGCAGGATGCCGTAGGACCACACATCACTCTCGAACGTGTACACACATTCAAAGATACTTTCTGGAGACATCCATTTCACTGGCAGACGAGCCTGAAAGAAAAGCACTCAGTGAGAAGACGGAGAGTGTAAATCATTCAATCAAGACTTGAAACCCTTCCCAGAGGTGACGTTTCGGGTCAAACAGGTTGACGACTGAGGACGTCTTCATGAACAGAACGTACCAAGTGTCAGATCTGCACACTTTGTTCGCCCCAGGAGCTAAAAACACAAGGCCGGTTGCCCACGCCTGTACCTGACGTTTGTGCAAAAATGCAAAGACACATATCTCATCAGGTATGCAACAGATGGCAGGCAGCTCCTCAGCTGTCAAACCACAACGGGTTTTTAAATTTAGAATCAGTGCTTGGTTGCCATACACCAGAGACTAAATAAGGAGCATGCTTTGCCTTCAGGCTGTGGTTACAAATATGCGTTATAATTGTAGCAATCAAAAGGATTAGACAGACAGCACAATTTAAGTGAGACGTCTGCAGAAGACGAGAAGACAAATCAACAAAGCTTCTTTCATAAAATGCATGCTAATGAAAGGTCCAAGGAAAGCTGCAGTGTACTCATAAAGAAGACTGTTTTGCAGACTTAATGATTAAACAATTCTGCAGCTACTTCCTTTTCTCTCCTAGAGCATTAAGAAGTATCATGTGCATGGGCTTCAGATGCCCACCAGGTGACCTCTACAGCAAGACAGCAGCTGCAAGCACAGAAGCCTCCACACATCTGGGTTGGGCTTCACCAGATTTTATCAGTTATGTGCCCTTATGTGTTTGCAAAATAGGTCAAACAAAATCACAAGGTTAGTTAAAACACAAGGCTATTTCAAATTCTTTGAAATGGGGTTGTATGAGGTACTTAGCAATAGTAAGTGTACTCTGTAAAGCAGATAATGGTCTAACAGCTCTAAGAAGCTGACGTTCCTACACAGAAGATGCACAACCTACTGCTACCTACTGAGTCATGAGGACAGCAAACTTTTGCCACTTGAAAGAGTCGTTCATCAAGAGGCCTCTTATACTAAATTATTTTTGGACATTTTTACATTTTCACTTTGATATATGGCAACCCTTTCCTTTAGCACAGCAATAGCAGAGCAAAAAGGATGTTCAGAGTGGGTATAAAAGGGATACTCTTATGGACTAGAAACACAGAGGAATAACTTTCACAGGTGAGTTGGTTTACAGAGCCACAGAGGTAATTTATGTGGCTGTTGGGTCCTTTACACGACTTGAAGTTTGCCTGTTTTTTCTAGCTCCTATTTAGGTGTCAAAACCTTTTTGATCATAAAGAACGTCTGTTAGTTATTATTCTTGTCCTAAGAACGGCATTAACTCAAAGATCGTTACATGGCTAATCACCAGACTCCTAGTCAAAGAGCTTTAAGGACACACCTGTTCAGTCAATCAGTGACCATCAAAACAACCTAACAGTAACTTATGATAGCATCACAAGCTGAATTACCACTCCCAATATAAACAGTACTAATTAAAGGTGTGACCTTGTTTAATCTGTTTTATGTATTCTTGATTATTTACTCATTAAGAGACATGTGTGTCAGTAAGGACAGTTCAATGCAAGTCATTCAAGGTCTTACCAATTATGCAAGGACCCACCCTTTTGCTGATGGGTGTGTTTACAACTATAATGACAAGATAACACAGAACAACCCCACTCATCTAATGGGAAGGAAAATAAACGGTAGTTAGAGTAAATGGCGGGAACAACGGTTTAGAGTTTAAAGAAACACCAGGGACTTCTCTGGACCTGAGCCCATCTATAAAGGACTGAGGGGAACAGAACTTTCCCTTAAGAATCCAATTTTGATTTTCTTTTTAGAAATCATGGATGTTGAGTCTTCTGCTCCAAGAGGAGAAAGGATCCCCTGAGCACAGTTCAAAGCCAGCATGCCTGATGGCATGAGGATCATAAGTGTTCATGTCATGGGTGGCTGACACATCAGTGAAGGCTTCATTAATGCTGAACAATATCTACAGGTTTATCAAGCTTGCATACGGCAGAAAACTCACGTACACCGTGCGTACGCAAGTTGCGACGTGAGGATCGGCATTTATCAATCTGCACGTAAGCGTACACTACAACCAAATCTCACGACAGGTCTGACATTGTGTACGCAAGTTTGAGTCAGTGTGGATCTACAGTGCAGCAAATGTCTGTCTCAAAATAATCGATGAACAAACCTCCAACCTGTCATTAAGCACAAACAGCCAGATTTCATTAAAGATTAAGAAGTAAATAAAATAAAATAAAATAAATTTGCGATGTCCTTAGTGAATAGGCTTATTTGATAATGCTGCCCAGAAACACTGCCACAGAGCAGGAGTGCCGTTTTGTTCTAACAATGCACACACACACGCCACTGTGGAGCGCTGCGTTTGACTCCTTAAAGGCCCAGCAGCGAGGCGAGGCTTCTGAACCACAAATATTTAAGGGCGTGACATGTTCATGGCGATCGATTTCAGCCGCCAGTTTTACGCAAGATTGATAAATGAGGGCCAATGACTTTTTCAGGAAAGACCTTCATATTTCAGCAAGACAATGACAAACCACATTCTGCAGGGATTACAAGTCCTGCTGATAAACTGGCCTGTCTGCAGTCCTGACTTGACAACTAATTAAGATATTTGGAGCATCACAACATAAAAATTATGACCTTCAACTGAACTGTTGAGCAGCTGAAATCTTCTATCAGACAAGGATGGGCCATTTCACTTTCTAAACTCCAGAAACTGGTCTCCAGGGTTCACTAACGTTTACAGAGTGTTAGTGAGAGAAAAGATAATGAAACACAGTGAGAAACATGACCCTGTCCCAATATTTTTGAAACTACTAAATATAAAGAAAGCCTATCTTTTTCACTAACAATAATCATTTTCAGCTTTAATATTTGGCATGTTGTTTTTGCTCTGTTTTCACTTATTTTTGTTGTTATAATGGTTTGCAAGCCATCCAATTCTGTTTTATCAGCCCTTTACACAGCATCCCAACTTGTTTGGAATTGAGGTTGTAAAAAGCAAAAGTATGTATAATGAGTCTATAAAAATGTGCGTTGGTTGTACTTAAAAGATCAGCTTTCATCATAATGTTGATGCAAGTCTCTTCTTGACTGATCAAGTATCAAGTATCTATGTAAGACCTAGTATGGTTTACACCTTTAAAAACGTGTTTGAGAGACTTAAAGGCAGTAAATCCTGATAAAAGTTTCTGAAAGTTCCTCATTTGTGTTGTAATTAATTTTATTTAAAGATCCTGTAGGTTTTTGTTTGTATTCCATGCTGTTCTACATACAGTAAGCCCACTCATCCTGAGACTGACAGATGGAGCAGGCTGCTCTAGAAGAGGGAGGCTGCAGTGGGAGTACTGTGGTGTCAGGTGTGATTGTGTGGCAGATGGTTCACATGACTCAGGGGTTAGGTTGAGGGGCCCCTGAGCAGATTTTCATTCAGGGCCTTCAGAGGGCAATGGAGGATCTGCGTGTCAGACTTTGTATTTTTAGCCTGAGAGGAAAGTGAGTGATCATACACAACTGACTGACATCATTCAGTCGAACTTTAGTAGCTTTAAGTTTCAGTTAACTAAATTTGCCACATCTACACCCATGAATGTGAATGTGCAGTGTTTTATTCTACACAAGGGCAAATTTGTGGTGCAACCAGTATGGACATAATCATGTCTAAATCCTTCATGATGCTGAAAACCTGTATGATTTCAACAGGCTTGCTGCAGCATGTTGAGACAGCTGTATGGAAATCCAGACATAGATGGTCACTTTTACTGTGAAAGTGTGGGAGTGGAAGTGGGTAGAGCAAACAGCTTTGTGCTTTGGTATTATCAGACCCATCAGCCGAGTAGTATTTATCTTCACGGGCAGGTGGGTCTGAAACTACCAACCTGAATGATTTCCCCTTATTGTTAGGTATAAGACCCAATCAGAGTTGAATCTGCACATAATACATAATTTTGCATGCTAATACCAGACTGAAAATACTTGATTGCGATTTACTTTAGTTTTGTCTAACTTTTGAAAAATCAACAAGAAAAGATGTCAGAGGTCAAACAGCCAATAGATTATTTGATTGGAACATTTGTCCCAGTTACAGTTTATGTGTAATGTGTTAAAATAAAGAATGAAAACATGACAACTTTGCATAAAACAGCCATAGCAGCAGGTACTTTAGACTGCAAGAATCACAGAAAAAGCCTGAGATCCTGAAGGAGCTGAAGAACCAAAGTGTTGTGTCAAACACAGCCTCTCTATTCTATACTGCCCTAATTTTCTAACTTTTATTATGGTTACAGAAAAGTCATCTAAGGCTATCTTTTACGCCTCCTTAAGTACAACTAATAATAACTTGTATCAAACCAATGTAGTAAACATAGAAAGTCCTGCGACTAGCAAATGAACTTTAAAAAAAGGTGCTGTGAAATTAGACATTTAGGCTAACAGTCACAGAAAAAAGCCTGGAGTTACTCATTAAGGTCTTTTTTTCACTCTAGACCTTTAACCTTTCTTCAACATTTTTGCCCCAGATACAGACAGTGCAGCAAATGTAGGTGTCTTCAGTTAATACTAATCAGTGGTTATTGGTTTTAACTCTTTAGTGTTGACTTTACATCCTCAATAAGACAAAAAGTTTGACACAGCTGCCAACACACTGGACACGGGGCTGAAGCAGAAGTCACGTTGAGTAAATATTTACCAGAAGAAGGAACTTTAGGACAGCTGGCCTCACTGTTTGCTTTTGAATATGAGTTGTAAAACGCAGTAGAAGTTTTATGTTTGCTTTTTGTTTTTAAAGACAGTATTACTGTACACACCCTGGGGTTCATATCTCAACACACACAAAGAAAACTGTTTCAAGTGAATGGAAAACATGCATACACAGAATTTAAGAGGCAGTTCCAAAGAAAGTGCTAAAATGTGGGTGCTTCCTTTGACCCTGGCCTTTATTGCAATGGCCATGTAATACATAAAGGATAATTATTTGCATTTTATTTGTCATGGTCCTGGTGATATGCACTGGGTAAGGGAAACGTATTAAAGTTTTCCTGTGGGAAAAGTGACATATGTGACCGCTAGAGTGAAAAATCTTGACCTGTCATGTCATAAATGTGTTTAATAATCACAACCTTGCGTTATGATTAACACCCCTAAGTTTTCAGGCACTTTGATATATATTTGCACCAAACATGGCTTTATTTCTGAGTGGCAGTTTGGCAGTTTAATGGTTTATTTGAGCTTGTGTCAGTGATGGCTAGGGTTAAAGGACAAACATCTAATTTTCTGCTAAAGGATTTATAAAACCAATAAATAGATGATGATAATAGGATTCGCCTTGTTTCTACAGATTAAAGTCATTTGAAAACTTTTAAGCCTTCATTTTATTGACTTTAGAGTGGTCAACAATTCTCCAGCTGGGAGAAGTATCTTGTAAAATAAACTAGATCATAAATCTCAAACTCTGATCTCCCTTGCGTTAAAATGGCTCCATTTAGTCTTACTATTTAGTCCTCCGTTTAATCTTCAAGTTTATACGTGACTAAATCTTTCGTTCTAGCAGGGAGCCTCTTGACTTTTAAGAGCTATCAGGCTCATAAAACAGGATGGGGTTTAACTCAAGACAAGGATAGCATGTTAAATGATGGGACTTGTCATGATAGCCACTATCAGATGTATCCTGCATCTCGTCTTAGATATCAGTGTTTCGTGCTGACTTACGTTGCCTTTCACAACGTAGTTGGAATCTGTGTTGATGTCCCGTGCCAGGCCGAAGTCACAGATCTTTGCCACTCTTCCCTGAGTCAGAAGGATATTCCTGGCAGCAAGGTCTCTGTGAATACACTGCAAAACAAACACAACACTCTTTAACACATAATGATAGGCGTGCTACACATGACCAATCAATAATACAACACAGGTCATGGATTAAGAGCTTTTTCTGATGCAGCCTGGTGCTGAATTTCTACACTTTAGTCTGTAACACTCAACCTCTGACACTGATACAGGACCTTACCGGCCACACTATCTCACCTCCAACACTGATAAATATTTCAACAGAACACTCCATTCACAAGGTTCATTTCATACTCTTAAGTTTTTTTAAGTTTAAAGAAATTATCTTCTCAATTCTTCTCAACAACTCTCTCTTTTTTAGGAGCAAAAGCCAACAGTTGGCCATTGCGCTAACATTTGATAAAATATAAATTCAGCTATCAGTCACTGTCAGGAGGTAACAGTCTCATTGATGTCACTCTTTGGTTTTTGAAGAGACAACATAAAGCCCAAAGACGGTCGCCAAGAAACAATGACTCAACCTGACTTTTGGTCTACCCAGAGACATGCAAAGGGGTGGAACTAGAGCAGGCTTTTAGCCTCCTGGTAGCTTCAAGATTGTTTACTTTAATTCGGTTTTGATAATTGTGTCAAACAGCTCGGCCCAAGTACTGTGGGCTGATCTCAGCTTTCTGGCCTGCCTGACCTAACTCCATGCTCAGTTTGTGAGATGTCCACATAATGTTGCTTTCACTATACTATTATGACGATACTTTCTATACACCCTCAGGCATCCTCACACTTTTTCCTAACTTGCACACAGGAGAGACACATGGCTTTTCTTGTTCAAAGTAGGACTTGGTCAAGGACACCATAACCAGTTCTAACACTTGTACAGAGATGCTGCAGCTCATGGATAGAGTTGGCTGCAACCACCTAAAAAGATAACTCCGATGACTGAAACTCTCTTCATGGACTCACTTTTTGGAGGCTGTCAGAGTTGCCTAAATTTAAATAACCAAGTGTCCTCATAAATCTGGTGTGGTAGTTATTATGCTCACATTTTTGGATGCTAAGAACTCCATGCCTTTGGCCACTTGGTACGAGAAGCTGAGCAGGTCTTCAGTATCCAGAGACAGACCGTCTTCGTCGAATAGCTCACTCTGTGCATCTGCTTCAACGTAGGAGCCACCTAAGGGGGACAAACAGGATGAAGATTAGTCATCTGAATTTGCACGAGTCTCCTCTTGACAGTTTTCTGAGTATTTTGGGACTGAGAAATTCAATGAATGGCTGGCTTGCCTTTGTGTAGCGAGCGTCTCTTCTCTGAGAAGCTGGACGGCGGGTTGCCAGAAGCAGAAGGCCTCATGGTCATGTAGCCATTCAAGCTGTCACTGTGAGGAGGAAAGGAGCAGTCTGGTATCAGTTGAGCACAGCCACACAGCCACACTTCTGTCCAAATACAATACTCCTACGCACGTTCTGGGTAGTAAATACTCCCTTTACTATTCCGCAAACAATAAAACCTCCTCCTAAAACACAGAAGTGAACCTGACCCAGCTGTTTCTCTCTGCGGCATGACGTTGCGGTAGTAATAGTCTTCCTCCATTTTATAGCAGGTGAAGCATTCCCTTTTTCTGCGCAGAAAGTTCAGCAGATCTCCAAAGCAGCAGTACTCTGTGATCACCAGTGTGGGTCCTGCAGTAAAGAAAGAAAACATAGTTTTATGACCAATAATCAGAATAACTTCACAACACTGACATTAAGACACAAACCATTTCAAATTTGGTAGAGAGAGCGGGAATCAAATGCACCAAATCATGCCAAGATTGGTAATCGTGCCTTTAACCAGCGTGACAAGGACTGTAGTGTTACTTCATAGGGTGTGCACTCTAACTGGTAGGCCAATGGTGCCCCAGTCGCTCATATCATTTTGGTGTAAATTACAGACAGGTATATCAGTTATCAGATAAGATTACCCTCTGCTCTATGGCTGCAGGTGGTTTCTGACGGGTCTCTGCATTTATGGTGAAATGCACTTTGTTATATAAGAAGTATTGTCCAAATATTTATAAATCTACAGAAACCAGTTGCACATATAAGTAGAAAATGACTTTTGCTAAAATAACAGTTTTGCTCCCTTCTTGTTGTCTGATCCATGGAGTCACCTGAAAATGTATGATTTTGTAGATATTGAGGATATTGAAATGAGGATAGAAGAAAATGTGACTACAAATACATGTCCTGTAACTGAGGGCTGTTAATGAATTGATGGTTGTAATATGTATTTGTATGTTTTTGTTGTCAGACACCAAATTCTGCTCCATTTTATCGCAGTTGGAATAGTGTAACATAGCTTACACTAGTAGCTTAGACTAGTTTGAACATCAAGTTTGGTCATTCGGTGACATAAAGCAGGCCAAGGGATACTATGAAAAAATTCCACTTGAATCTCTGTCAACAATCTCTCTGTCAACAAGCTTTCCTTGAAAGTGTTTTTTTTCCCCAGTAAAACAGAACAAGCCTGCCATACCTCCAACTGTGCAAGCCCCCAGCAGGTTGACAATATTCATGTGGTTTCCCAAATAACTGAGGACTTTCAGCTCAGACATCAGCGCCTCTTTCTCTGTAGAGTGAGCACTCGCTGTGGGGTGAAAAAAGTATTTTAATATGTGATCAGAATGCACAAAACGGCTCATGGTTAATAGAGTCAAGCAATAACAATGTGTCACGATCTGGCATACATGATAAAAATAGTTAGCTGGTTGCTGAGGGCTAATGTAAATAAAAATGTGTTTCTTAAACATATTGATTTGGCAGCAGTGCTCAAACCACCACAGCCACTTAAAAGCTGCATGAACACCTGCTGGCAAATAACTTATTGGGCTTTTAATTTAATGATTGCATAGTGGAAACAGAATTGCAGTGCTTCATTTGTATGTGTGTTAACAGCACTTACATTTGAGCATCTTTACAGCCACCGTCATGACTGAATCTGCTTTGGAGAGGCCGTATGCAGTTGCCTCCACCACCTTCCCGAATGCACCCGATCCAAGTGTCTTCCCTGAAGACAAGAAGACAGACACAAAACTGTTACTCCCCATCCTGTTTCCCTCCCACAAGCTGGCCTCATGCCAGCGTTCCTAGGACAACACCAGTTTGAGCCCCCGGGCTGTGTACGCAGGCACCAGGACACGCAGGATCCTGTTTAAGGAGGTTTGTTGAAAACAACACCCATAATATGTCAACAAAATCCTGTTTGCAGTGAGGGAGTGGGGTTTCATCATTAATGAGGCGTAGCACTGGTTAGCCACTGATGACCACAGGCATGGCTCGAACCTTAATGCTGTGTCCATACTCAGAGAAAACAGAGTGTCTGTCAATCAGCCAGAAGTCGCCTCAGGCTGGCAGCGCTGATGTCATCCTGCCTGCTCTGTTGGGCTTTCTAACTGACATAAACCCCCGGTTATCTCCACATCACACTGCTCAAACGCTGATTTACACCTCAGACGTAGAAGCCAGGGGTTCTGTGCTGCTGCTTAACATCAAAAATGACAGATTAATGAAAACTTGGATGCACAAAGGGGTGCAGGTGGCTTACCAAAACGCAAGTTGTTTCGAGGAAACTCCCACTGGTGATCGTACGGTAGTTGGGTGGGGTCAATGTACACATAGTTGTTTCCATGGATGCCCTCGATAACTTTCCACTGGATCTGGTATTTGGGTTTCTGGCATGAGTGCAAGCAAAAAGACACCAAAATAGAAATTACAGTTAGTATCCAACAAAGGGGATTGTTTTATTTATTTTTCTTGTTCTGAGTCAAAATGTGGAAAAAAAGGAGGGTGTGCCACTGTGCCAGTGAAGTGCAGGGCTGTCCTACCTGCATGTACTTGTAAAACAGCATGATAAGGACGAGGCAGAGGATGCATGCTGCTGACACAGAGCCAATCAGCAGAGGGGTGAACAGATCATGAGGGACGGTTCTCTCTGCAGGGATACAGAAATGATGTTGTTTGGTACAACAGCAGAGACAATCAGAGTCTGTTTCAGTGGGCTGCCATGTTTACACTCTCAGTGACATGGCAGAGGGGCATTAAGGTAAGCCAAGGAGGGCTAAGTCACCCTGAAGCCCACTTTGCCCAAACTAATCCAATTAAACATGTAAACATACCGGAAATTCACACTTTTCTTATATTTTGCAAACTTCAAACTTTATTTGTGTCAAATTGCTTCTGATTCAGCTCTATGTCTCTGTTACTCTGTTGCTTCTGCAGCTGTGTTGGGGTGTAATTATATGTAAACAGTGTCCTGTTTTTGTCTGTGATGCCTTATTGTTTTGCTCCTCTGCACACTGGGGTGTAATAAGCTCTTTAGCGATAAGAAGCTTTCTCTCCTCTTCGAATCAGAGAATGCAGAGTCTGCAGGAACTAATCCCCTGTAAACCTGTCAGTGCTTCCTAAAGCTTCTCTATGTATTCTATTCTGCGGCTCACTGAAGCCTCCACAGCCTCCCACAGCCCCCCTGAACGCCCAGCACCGCCAGGACACCCACTGGTCTCCACACTCTCTGCCTCCGCCTGCTCTGCTGCTGCGCTGTGAAGCACAAAAATCCTGGGCACACACTCCCAGAGGGCTGTCCTGTCTGGCTAAAAACACTCTCCTCCTGCACAAAGCTCGCCCACATGCCCGCTGTAGCCGCAGTTAGACCCCCAATCATGCATAAACCCGGGTCTCTACTCTCAGGCAGGGGCAGGTTTTTCTCTACTCTCAGCTCTCAGGACATGTGCAGCAGATGGGGAAGCCGTTATAAAAGAGTGGATTTTGAGTCATAGAATAAACAATGGACTACAGCTAATTCCTATCTGTAAGAGACAACATCTTATCGAGGCCAATCATGTCCCAGGTATCTCTCCCCACAAATGTTTACCTAACAGATCACAGACGACTAAGCTCCAGTTGTAAAACCACATTTATGGGTTAATCCTCCACAGAATCATGCTTCTCGTAAATATTTTGGGTTGGAGATAAAATCCCATGTGGGGCACAACTGCTTTGATAACTTTGTTTTTGGGCCACAAAGCAGAGAGTCAATGAACTTAAGCTTTCCAGAGTTCATTCAATTAAATTACAATAAAACTGACAGAAGGTGGAGAAAGATTTGTAATCTGTAGAGAGATGTTAAGTCAGTGTGTCCTCAGACACTGTTGACTCTGTTGTGCTTAATTCTAATCTGAAGGTGAGAGCACGCAGGGGATTACATCAATTTAGAAACAAAACAGGAGACTGAAAGGCGCCCTCTCATTATCACATGGTGTGTAGACCTACTTACAAGCTGCATCCTTCTTCGTTTAACACCTTGGAAGTTTATGTAGTGTCTCAAAAACTTTCATCGCCGTTGGGACTCTGGAGTACGTTTTTGAACTTTAACTATCACACAAGCAGTAAAATCTGCCTGTTGACCTTCTTTTTAAAAAATGTATCTATATTACAGAAACCAAAGCTGTAAGAAACTTTAGACACTATGTGACCGTAATTACAAGAAACTCACAGAAGCCAGAAAAGTTTAAAGTTGCAAAACTGCATATACAGTATATTATGTGCAGATAAAGTAGGATAGGGCAGAGTAGAATTAAGAGCGACAGTATGAGGTAAGATGAGGGAGGTTGTATTAATAACATGAGGAAGGGTTTTGGTAGGAATAGTCAGGATGGTTTGGTTGAACCAGAAAGGATAATGAAGGTAGGGTAAGGAAGGTTGAGTTGGAGAAGGATGAAAGCAGCAGGATAAAGGGAGGGAGAAAAAAAGATAGGATAAAGTAGGGTAAAAGGTAGGTAAGCAAAGGGAATGGTAGGTAACAGGTGATGGGTAGGTAGTAGGGTGCAAAAATAGGACAAGGTTAATTAAGATGGAGAAGTGAATGAAGCCGCAAAGTAAGGTATGCTGATAGAGTACATTTGGATAGTGTTAGGTGGGCATAGGTGACAAGGTGGGGTTGGGTGTGATAGGAAAAATGATAGGATTGATCAGAATAGGCTAGGACACTATAGGTAACATAGGTAATGTAAGGTAGTGTGAACTGGTGATGATTTTAGGTAAGGACAACAGTGGAAAACAGTTCAGAATCGAATTTGATAGAACGTGATGCAGAGGGTGAGGGTCGGGTTGGACAGGGTGGGAAAATGACAGGAAGGGTGAGGCTGGGTACAGAGAGGTATAAGGTCAGGATACAGCAGGTTAGGATAAGGAGTAGTTAGATGGGGTTGAGAAGGGTAGAGTAATGGTAGCGTTTTAGCACTTGGAAAGGGATAGGAATAGACACAGATGTAATAAGGGACTATGGGATAGGACAGAGAATAGGTAAGAATGGAAAGAGTAGGGATATGTTAGGTAGGGTATAAAAGGATAGGCAAGGTTAGACAGGCAAGGCAGGTAGAATTGAGGCAAGTACGAGAGGGCAGAATAGGTAAGGTGGGGATATTATGGGATAAGGAAGGATGAAATAGTACACAAAAGGGTAGGTAAAAGCAGGGCAGCTAAGGATATGATGGGAAATGATGAGGTAATGTAGGAAAGCACGTGATAGACTGAGATACAATAGAGAAATGTTTCATTGGATGGAGTAAGGTAAATGTAGGATGAGTTAGAGTAAAATAGTGTATAAAATGGTGAGTAAAATAGTAGGTGTGTGGTAGTACTGGGTAGGTTGGTTGGAGTTTAGACAGGACAGGTCAGGATAGGATGGGAATGGGGTAATTAACATACAACACATGCAATGTTAGCTGGGCTTCCCCTGTGTATTCTCATAGCTATGTATGCAGTACTAAATGACAACTCTTGAACACCACTTAGTGCTGAGAACAGGAAGCCTCAAGGTGATTTCGATACTTATAATAGATCGAAGCTGAAAACACACCACTGAGGTTGATACTCAAGACCTATATTGTTAATAATCAACCACCAGAGCTAATGCTAATGATCAGTGTTCTAGCCGAGGAGCTGCAATATGACTACTCTTATGATTAATGGCGTGGCTTTTGAGATAAGCATTCAAACATTGTCTCACCACATCAAAATGGATTTAAAACTTTGATTTAGGGGTGGAAAAAATCAACTGACACTGATATCTGTTTTGATACCGTGGCAACAAAACCCCCGAGCACCCTAGGTTGAGTAATGTTCTTATTTTCAGTTTCCACACAGTCACAAAAGAAATTGCTTATGACTACATCCAGTCATAGTTAAAGGCAAACATTAAAGGGACTTTGAAAAATGTTTTACACATATCTTGAAGCAAGTCAAATGCGTGCACTGGGGACTTTATCTATAGGCAGTCTACAACCCTCTGTCAGTAGTTTATAACTGTCTCATCATTTTGTTTATTGTACATTTCTCTCTGTCCGTCATTATCCAGAGGTGTAGAGCTCAGCCAGCTGTCTTCAGGTCAAGACTTCCAGTGACATTTAAATCTCTGTTTTCTGTCTGTCTCCTAAAGATGCAAATGTGACGTCTGCATCTTTAGGACATGCCAATGGGACTTAACAACATGTTGGTATGTTTTTCGACCGCTGAATTAGAACAGTAAGTACTGTTGTTTTATGAAAGCTGCGGGTGTGGTGGAGAGCAGCACAAAGTAACTCTGCAGAAATGTTCTGTTTACAGGCAGCTGTGCTTAATCCTGTTCAGAGTGTTTTCATTAGTTCTTTAATAGTTTAAGGCCTGTTTATCACCAGGCTGTGGTACAGTCAAATGTAGGGCGCTTTTCTAAACAAATAACTTGAGTATAGTGTTTGTTCAGGCAGGTTTAAATAGTCAACTCAAGTACATCAGCTGATTCTAACACCAGGCCATATCAGTTGAAAGCTCAGCTGATTACCTCTCATGCATGAGTCTTATGTATGCCTGCTTTGATCAGTTAACTGGGAGTCTTTGCTGCTGCTCTCCTTGTGTTAGCTTTTCATGAATGCATTAAAATGTATGTATGAAACAGAGGGGATTGTGCTCTTCCCACCACATGTTAAACTCTCAGAACAGATTCCACCACATACAATTTTTCTCTTTTATAAAACTGCTCCTAATTTGTGTATCATTATGTGAAACCAACTCACCACTGATAGAGAAGAGCGTGTAGGCCTGCTCTCCGTCCACTGTAGCCACACACTCCAGAGTGTTGAACCGTCCTCTGCTAATGTTCACCCGGCTCTCCACCTCGGTCTTCCCAAACTTGGGGCTGAGCAGGGTGATGGTGATGACATTGTTCTCCTCCTGGGTGGCATTCACTTGTTGGGAGCACCTGGAGGCAGAAGATTACACCTTGTTGACACAGGATCACTGACCTATTCACAGTTTGTCTCATGTGGACAAACAGGCAACCACCCCCAAAGTCTCTTCAGGATACACATTCCTTTACCAAGACTTTTGTGGAGAACATGCCTCTGCACAATATGCAGAATCAAGCACACACATGATCATATTTAAGTGTAATTTGCAGCAGTCACTTTAAGTAAAAATCATAATAACAGCAGGGGAGCTCGATCTTCTCCCAATTCAAGTGTATGAAGCGGTCTGTGGCTCCATATTTCATCGTCTTTCACTGAAAAAAAAAGCTTCTGTGTTGTGGGTGCTCTAAGGTTGCATCAATCTGTTGCTGTACATACAGTACATGTGCGTGTTTGCATGTAAGGAGCATTAATTGGATTTAATCAGTCTTAAAAAATGGCTGATGATTCACTGTGCGTGCGTCTTGGGGATTGGTGTCGCAAGTGCTCGTCCTTAAACGCACTTTACGATTGACACGCGATCAATGGAGTCCACGGGGTGTCAGCTGTATCCAGGCAGAAACCCCCACCAATGATAAATTAAATTAGTCTGGTTCCCCCTGTCACTCACCAATCCCTGGTCAGGATCTCTGTAATCTCACATTCCACCCTCATCATCATTCCCGACTTCAAAAACATCTTCAGCGTGACCTCAAAGACCCTCCAGGTGAAATGAATCAGCCTGAGTTTCATGTAAGTTTTGTAAACCTAAAAGTTACAACCATGTTTAAGGAAAGGGGTTTAGCTTTGCCCAAACTTTCAGTAATGTCAATAAGATGTAAGACAATAAAATTTTCAGAGAAGTGTGAAATTTTTCCGTATTTCTACAGTTTTAATCTTTATAACTCTCATAACAGGATTGCTTTGGGGAATTGTAGTTTTATGTCACGCGGCGCTGTTTCCATACTTTTAAGTTAGTGTTTTGTTTTTTTCATTCAAGTTACATAACTAAGAACTAATGAATGCTTATATTTGTTGAATGGTTATTATCACTTCAGGCAGCAATTTGAGAATTCAGCTCAGAGAAATGGGAAACCACGTCTTTTCTAATTATGGCATAGCCTGGATTCATTTTCCCCAAAATGTTGTTTTTCTCATTTTATTTATCTACTTTGCTTTACAACTTATCTTTAACAATAATCTTGCAATAGTTGGAATTTTCACAGTCTAAAGTTCAAATATTCCCCAATTAAAGCTCCTGTGAGGAACTTTTGGTTTGTGTTGATTATTGCACCCCCTGCTGACAGGGTCAAATATCTTGTTTCCTTTTTTTTACAGATTTGTTTCCATACTTTTGAAATTCATGTTTCATCATGACAAACTTCCATTCTCCTGTTTTTTTTAACAGTCCAGAGTACCACGTGTCAAAGATTTTTGCAGCTGAAAATGTGAATAAAGACAGTGACAATCCTCATTAAATTATACGCCAAATTTCACTTAGAGTTACCTATTTTTACACTGTGTTACTGAAAACACATCTTTTGACATCGCTCACTTTTCAGCATGACAGTTGTTGGTCATCAGTGCTCGTGATCACTACAGCCCCTCGTCCCTTTGCTTTTCCGACACACAGTCACCTGCCTCCTCCTGCTCCTCTCCCTGATCTACTCTCTCCACCTGTGGCTGCTTGATAGTTTCTGTTGCTACTGCGCATGTTGAAGATACAGCAGTACAAACTTTCACGCAGCCACAAATTGCATATGCTCAACTTTTGCTGAACGTTGATCGAAGCTGCTAATAATGAGGTGAGAGAGAGAGAGGGTAGGGGTAGTGCACATGCTCTGGTGTCAGGAAAGCTGCCCTCTAATCGTCATACAGGACAAAGCCAGCAAAACTCAGCAGGCAGCACAACATCAGCTCTGTCTTGGTTATGGTTTTATGATGTTAGGGAACCATAATTGAGTTTAATAATTGTCCAATCTTCAATTTTGGGCTTGGATGAGTTTAACCTGCCCAAGAGAGCCTCTGTGACAGGACTGTGTTTGAGAACTTTGCTTGGCTCACAAAGCATAAACCTGCAGCGGGGATTGGAAACAGCAGCAATTTTATTTCTATCCAGAGGCCAGAGCTTTTCTTTTTTCTTTTTTTTTCCAGGTTTTGGCTGAGTCAATCTCATTTGTCTTACGGCAGTTAGTTCCAGTTTTAGTGCCAAATCTATTATTTCAGCCTGTGTGTTTGTTTTAAATAAATTACAGGCTCCTACATGAGCTAGTTAAATCACAAGTGTCACCATTAAACTAAAATCAGAGATAAACAAAAACACATTTCCCAACTGAGCTCATTTTAAATCAGCAAAAAACAGAAAGGAAAAGGGAAAAGTGTAATATGAAGCCTTTAAAATGCTGTTATGCATTTATGCTGTACTTCCTTTACAAGGTGAGAAAGTAAGGGAAAAAAGGCCTTGACTGTCTCTCACCTGACATAAGGTTGCTCACAGTAGTACCAGGTGATCTGTGGGGCAGGAAACCCCTCTGCCACACAGCGTACCTGTCCATCCACCGGGCCCTCATGTGACACAATTTCAGGTTTACCTAACAAACACAGGTTAATGTCACAATATGTCATGTACGAAAGACATTTTAATCCAATCAGACTTTACTAAGGTGTGAATGAGAGAGAGAGAGAGAGAGAGAGAGAGAGAGAGAGAGAGAGAGAGAGAGAGAGAGAGAGACCTTATTTAGCAGAAAGAAAAAGGTCACTTAAACCTATTCCCATGTGTCCGAACCTGAAGGTTAATGCACTGAGGTGAAATGAGAGTCAATGCATGGCTTTAGGGAACTAAAAACCTTTGAAGAAATCCATGATATAACTTACTGATCACAAAGATGGTGAATGTTATGTTCACTGATGTGTCACGGTTTGAGGCTTTAAAGGTGTAGTCTCCACCTTCGGACATTTTCAGTCGCACCAGCCTCAGCTCACTGCTGTACCTATAGACAACCACCACCATCATAACAACAACATAAATAAATACATGCACTGTATATTTGTGAGGTTCAAAAGCTTGTTGTGGTATATTCTGTCAATTTAATTTGATTTGTTGGTGTGGATGTTCAATAGGTGAAAAAACTCAAGTGGATTGCTTCAGCTGCAGTTAACTCATTCAGTGCCAATGACGGATTTTGACAGATTTTTCAGTTTTTTCATTTTCCGCCACAGGGCGCTCCTCCCCAACATGCGACTAAGTTTGGGTTCGTTCTGAAAGCAGAAAAGCTGACAAATACGTCATAACCATGTGCAGTAACAAAAACAAGTACTTGCCAGTGAGTAGTGTCAAGCAAGTGTGCCAATTAACCACTAAAGTGTGGGTTGGTTTAGTAGGAAAATTCCAAAGTCATTAGCCAAGAGCAAATGGTCTCGGCGCATTGGCTCCTGTGGGCGTGGTGCTACCGTCCGTGGATTCCGTTCGGACCTTCAAATCGTCAGCACAGGTGCCGGTACTGGTGAGCAAGACTGTTCAGCGACAGCCCCAGTGAGGACGACGCGAGCAGTCCTTTTTTGTTTATTTTTATTACGTCGCGGCATCAGCTTCTTGAGAGCCAACACGACTCCCAGACATCACAAAGTGACCTCTCTCACAATCGGATCTGAGTGGTGTTGGAGGAGGTAGGACCTTAATGCCACCAGTAAAGTAGTTTGATGTGAAATTAAATAGTTGATCAGGGTTCTGCTTGAAAGGCACTCCTTTGTCAAAATGTGTTTTTCCCAGTTTTTTTTTTTTTTTCCAGATTGGCAAAGATGATATGACCACACTGCATTGAGCAGGCATTAACTAAACACAGGAGTGAGTTAGAGACTAACTTTTTTTTTCTGGTAAAAGAAGAGAACCACCCCTTTGTTTTGAGATATTGCCCTTAATTCTAGTCCAAGTACAAGATATTCTGTGGGTCCTGAAAGATACGGTAATTTCTATTGCGGTCAGTGGTGGCACTGGGTGAAAATTGCATAAATGAACCTGGTACTGAATGAGTTAAGCAGTGGCTGCAATCCTTTTGGAGAAACCAAGCCTAATTTATAGTGTTCTTTCAAACACATCCTCAAACAGAGAAGGTCAGAATAAAATTTGTAATGCATTTCTTTTTCTGGCAGAAACAGTTGCGTCAGTTGTTCACATATTATGCAATCTTGAGCACCGTTTCAGTCAAAGATTACACTTAAAACAGCCGCTTTAGCCCGGTACTTAGCCGCGAGCTGAAGAAAATTAGAACTTCTTTTGATCTCTTTGGTCACAGTTGGTGCCAAAGTTATAAGATTCCAGTATTATTCCTAAAAAAAAATGTGTTCAATGTATAGTATGTAATAATGTATGAACAGAAAATAGTGTCACCTTGTTGTGCTTAAAGCTGCATGAGAAAACTTAAAACGTTCAAATATTTGCATTAATGATCACAAACAGCCCTCTGTTTGTCCTGAGCTGTTTTTGCACATGACTTCTGTGACATTATGTAAACGCTAAACAAAGGTTAAGTCTTTGAAGATTCAAATTGAGCAACCCTATTTTCCAGTAACGGTATAGATTGACTTTAAAAATAGCAAAAGGGGCTGAAAAGCTGTTCCCACTCATGCATAGTTTGCTTTAGGCTCTGCTGACCAACAGAGGCCAAAGGTCACGCCTTATGCTCCCAGTATCAATGGGAATATTTGTAGGAGACACCATGAAGCGGAGCTAAAATGTATTAGCAGCCTTGGATAACATTATGTAAAGTGTCTGTCTGCAGAATAGAGGCCCCACTGTGGATATTTCATGGTTTCTTTTTCTGCTAAAATCTGTGACTTCCAGTTTCAGCAGAAACCTCACGGCACTTTTCTAAATTTCAGCTTCATTTCATGGAGAGCTGTGACGAGAGCAGTTGCAGCCAAACAGGAGGTGTTAAATTCCTCTGACAGAGTGTAATGAGCTTCCTCATCTGTGTGAAACCATGTGTAGAAGTGGGAACCCTCCAGCAGGTGTGTGTTGTTTTCTCACCTGTACTCGTGGTTGTGTGTGGTGATGACATGGTCACTCGTGTTCTGCAGCTCTTGGCCCATGAAGCTCCAGGAGAAAGTGTGCGGCTTTGGATAAGCCTCCAACTCCACAATCAGGGACAAACTCTCGCCTAAACGGACCTGGATGCTTCTGTTGTCAACAGGGGCCAAGTTGATGAATCCCGTCTCTGAAAAACAAACGTAAATATGTATGTTGTGAAGGATTATTTATGCTTTTTGGCATCAGGAGCAAATGGTTTCCATTCTGAGTTCCAGTTTGTGCAGACAAAGTACACAAGAGCACGATTTATGACGTCTGTAAGTGGAAGTGGAACACATTTGCTGGATTGCAACTTCTTGTATTCAACTTCTCTTCTCTCCTTTTCTTCAACTACTTGTATTTTCTTTATCTACTGACACATACCAGTATCTAAAACGCTCAACTGTATGTGTTACCTCTCCAACCTAATATGTAGAGATTGATCAATCATGGTTTATCAGGGCTGATACCAATTAGTTCATGAGACTACTTACTAATATTTGGAGCTGATCTGTTTTTTTTTACAGTGAAAATGAAAAATTTTCTGGCAAAGTTGAAAACTTTTGCTGTTACAGGTTATCAGCCCAATGCTGAATATCAGCCCTGATAATTGATCAAGGATCTTTAAAGGATCAGACCGTAAACAACGACAAATGGACAGGATAGGAAATCCTTATAGTGTGGACACACCAAATGCAGTGCTGCATGTCTAAAATTTTGTCTCCATTCTTTATGTTTTACTCATGAAGTCTCCTGGTCAAAATAATGTAAACAAATCTATACAATGGAGTAAATATACATCGCAGCATTTGGGTTTTAATGAAAAGACTGAATATAAATTTAGGACAAAAAGTGACGCTGCCTTATTAGGAGAGCATTCCTTGCTGTTTTGGCTTCCTCACTGAGATATTTACTGGCTTGACCAGAAGCCCTTCAGTATTGGCAGTTGCCCCAGTTTGAGGCTATAGTAATGGTCAGACACCAGCCAATAGATTCTGAGAAAAACACTGTCTTACATATACAGCCAACAGGGACGCATTAAGGCACTGTGAGGAGTTTTCATGTCGTGTCAACTCTGGTGACCTATTATGATGAAAATGGTAGACTGCACTTCTCATGAGTACCATCACCCACTCTTTAATACTGATCTCTGTTTAAGATTTGAAAGATAAGATGAACTTCATTGATTCCCGAAGAGAAATTCAATTGTTTCATGTCTCAAGTCATCTACTATCTACAAAAAGATAAAATGTCTGATGGCCGTGGGACAACTTCTTGTAAGATGCAGAAGGAAAAAACTAATGTATGAATAGCTGGGTAATAAAATCATTAACAATAACATAGTCATGACTTAGCTTTAGAAACTCTGATTTAATACTGTTAGGTAGCTTACCAAAGGTGATGTTTGTACCAGTGAAATGTTAAACCAGTGTCATTGTGTGCTCTGGTAACCCAATGATTGTCTGAATAATGGAAGTGTGCACACGGTTTACCTCTTTAGTTCTCACAGAGCAGTGAAACATTTGCATACCAGCAATAACTATGAATCCATATCATTCTGCTCTTTTATCAGTCAAAGTCCTGGTAGGAGACTTTCTGGGTCTAAAACAATACCTACACAGATCTTTTTGCTTATCCTGCTCCAATATCAGCCACAAGTACAAAATATTTAAAAAGAAAATCTGAAGAAAATAAACTCCTCCAGCTTGATAACTTCCTCCTCACTCACTGCCAAACTCATCCAGCAGAGTTTTAAACTGGCACTTCAGAGTGAGAGGCAGATATCAACTAATTCCCAGAAAATACCACTAAAACATTTGCACTAACACCTGACCAGGTGTGATTACACCCTGAGTGTTATCAGCACCTGTACTTCATGAGGAAGCTGAAGAGGGCGGGGCTGGACTCCTCAGTTCCTTATGTGATGGGAACAAGCTGACTTCCTCCATCACCGTGTTGTATTGAAGCTGCACAGTGGCAGAGAAGCAGTGGCTGGAGAGGGTGGTAAGGACTGCTCAGAGGATCATCAGATGCAGCTTACCGGTCTTCTCGGATATTTACAACAGCTGATGTATGAACTGAGTCATGAGAGACCCAACCCACCCTGCACACAGACTTTTTTTCCCCCCTCCTCTCGCGCAGGAGTGCAGAATCTGGGCAAAGGCCTCTAGGCTGAAAATATATTTATTTCCAGATGTTGTGAGACTGATGAACAGTTCCACGCCATGCAGGAACCTTTAGAGAGCTCCACAATTAACGCTGCCAGTTTTTAATGGACATGAAAAGTGGTTGCACTTTATAAGCTGTTGCACTTTGGACTTCAATCTGTATGTTGCACTTTCATTTATTGTACTGTCTAAATACACTGCTGTAACTGCCTATGCTGCTGCTACTTTGTTACGGAGGAAAATTTGGTAATCTATAAATTAATCAGATAATTAATGGTTAAATTCTATATATTAGATTAGAAATTCATTGTTATTTCACTTCTTTGATAGTAACTGAGAGCTGCATTTTGTCCTTCATGATTCTGTTCATGGTGTGAATGACAGTAAAGTCAGTCTGAGTCTAAGCATGTTCATGAATACGAGTACTCTGGAAATCATCCATCCCAATGTGAATCTCCATGATATTCTATGTTCCTGCAAAACTCCTACAATCCATGATTTTTTGGTCCAGAATCCGCCTCAAGTACTTCCAAAGAACTGGATTTCTGAGAAACTGTGTAAGCTTGCTAAGTGAACAAACTACTTTCTTCAATTCAGTTGCTCACTTGTCTATTCAGTGAGATCATTCCCTTTTAAAGAAATGAATAACGCCTTCTCGCCACTTACTGAGGCGTTGTCTCAGCTGCTTTTAAGTCGATTGCCGAGTGAGTTTGTGTGATTGAAAAGTGTGTTTATCAATTTACAACATACTGTGAATCTGACTAATGTTATTCCACTGAAACGTGGTTATACACTAAACTACATACATTTATTGGCCCACAAAAATAAAATAACTCACAGCCATCAAAGCAGCCCAGGACCCATGGACATGGCCTTCATTTTTGTGCAACACTACTTTTGATATTTAGATTATCTCTATGAGTTTGATCAAATGCAGTTATATTTATTGGTTATCAGAAATCCACTTCCTTGCAACCATGTAAATTTGTGCCAAGGACGGGTAATGTCTGTTTGCCAGTTAGCAGACTCCTAGCTCTTCCATTTTTACACACTTTTTACACACTCTGGATAGAATACTGCTACTACTACGGAGTATTAGGGCCATATTAATAAAAAAATTTAAAAGAATTAGATTTCGAGATTACGGCCATTAATTTACGAGAATAAGCCATTACTAACGAGAATAAAGACAATACTTACGAGAATAAAATCATAATAAAATCATTACGATACTCGTGATAATGTGGTGCTGATGTGCAGGTTAGAATATAAGGACTTTATTCTGACTTTACTCTCATAAGTAGTTAATTTAGTACGACTTTATTCTCGTTAGTAATGACTTTATTCTCATAAGTTAACAACTTAAATCTCCAAGTCTTAAATTTTTTTCTCTTAAAGTGGCCCTAATACTCCGTCATAGAATACAGATCAAAATATTAATTATTAACATTAATGAGAGCAGTCTCTTTTTTTTTACTTCCTCCTCTCCCGTCCTCTTGTGTGTACGTTCCCCATCTGTATATGCAATTTCGTTGTGCACAAGTACAATGACAATAAAGTCCATACCATACCATATCACAGAAGGGAGGAGTTTTACAAATTCATCACTTACGCACAGACGTAAGCAGGACAAAAATAACCAATCATGTTGCTCATGTCACTCTGTAGCTAGTAGCATCACCCTGAAGTGTTACTCTTTCCAAATCAAGCAGAAACATCAGACAGAGTGTGTAAAATTACAAAAATTCGAACTGAAAGAGATTTCATTTGAACACTCACCGTAAACATCCAGCCAAACTGACTGCGTGCTGACCCCCTTCTCGTTCTGCGCCTCGCATCGGTACCTCCCGCCATCCCGGGCTTGGACGTCCGCAATGTTCAAGGTGGCACTGCGCACATGCGTGAAGTGCTCTGTCGTGATTCGTGACGCGCCGTCAACCTTTGCTGGTTGCTGTGGATACCAGACGGCACCCTGTCAACGCCCAGAAATCTCTAGAGATTAACCCCGTCTGCGTGTCTATTCTCGCTGACAGACACACAACCACCAGCATGCAACACACATTCTCTCACTCATGCATGCACATGGTAGACCACATGTAGCCAAGATCCTGAAGCTCACATAGCACAAGTTTGACCCCCTGATACAAAGAGCAGACAACCGCTGACAGAGGTACAAAGGCAGAAAAAGTCTGCAGGAGAGGAATCTAAATTTAAGACAACACCAAAAATGTGTTGTTTTTTTTTTTTGTGGAACACTCTGTTACTCTTTTTGCCAATCACTTGTCTAATTTTCCAGCAATAATCATTAAAGTGGCCGACTTTTCAAGGGTAAAGTCCTATGATTGGTCTTATTCTGTTTATCAGCGGTTGTCTCTTCTCAACTTGAAACAGTTTGACATGACAGACATCTATCCGTGCACATGAGTGGATTCACAAAGAGTGGATTGTAGTTGTTGATAGCATTGTGAGTTGCAGCTCTTTGCATCATGCCCTGTCCTGCCTGATGATCTGATTCACAGACAACTTTGTTCAGGTGATTTTCCAGCAGGAACAAGCACAAGAAGGTTTTGCAGTCCACGGGTCTTTGCGTTCAATTTTCTGCACTCCCTGCAAATCTTTTTTTTACTTTTATATTGCTCTTCTCTCCTTTTCTATGGTCAGTTTTATAGAGCTGACTCATAGCATACATTTTTTGTGCATCTGTACTGTCTTGTTACCGTGAAAATGGCAACAAACATCTATTCTGTCCTGATCAAAGAGGGGAACATCAGTTTCTGCGCTCTCAGTTTGTGAGACTGAGTTCAGTTTTTCTCCTGGAAAAATGTCAATCTGGAAGGGACTGAAGCTACTCTTTTTTTTCAGTTTATTGCACTGCCAAGCCTTAACAGATGTGACACCAGTTTTAATGTCTTCTTCCATGTAGTGAGCCAGTAAAACCAAACAACACTCTCTTTCAATTGCTAAACAGTTCAAGCAGAATAAGAGCAAACTGCAAAGTAAATTTATATCTGGAGCTGGATGATACTTTGGAACAACAAGTGATTTTAGGCTATTATGCATAATTTACAGGATGCATCATGTGAGATAAAAACTGACTGGAAACAGATTAATAAGGCCCCTGAAACTGAAAACAAATGCTTGTATTTGTTTATTTTATCAGATTAATCACCTCCTGAGGATGTTAGGATTAAATTATTAAAACATTAATTATCCTCTTTCCAAATTCAAGTAACACCAGTGTGAAGGTTTTCTTTGTCTTAGGTGTAGACACACTGTCTAGCTCAATTTGAACTGGACTAATGTGGCTCCAGTGTAAGTTCAGTCAAGGGGACTATGATTGCCTCCACAGCTGCCTAAGTCTCTTATCCACTCCCCTGCTCACTCTCTTTTCCTGCTGTGATCACTCAGGGCAGTCATTGGTTAATCTGCCATTCACCAGCGTCTTCTTAATCTAATAGCAGGGTTGCACACGCTAAATGTATCACACCCTTTAATCTGAACAGCACTTAGGTCAACGCTGGTTGTTTTCAAATGCGCTCTTCAAATGGAGTTTGAGTTGAGTTGAAGATAAAATCAACCCCCAGCTGCATTATGTAGCTTCAATGCTCCAACGTTTAGAAATTTGCTGAAGTTGGACTTACATGTGTGCATGTAGGGCTGGAAAGTCCTGGTCGGCTGGTCGCCTTTTTGGTCGATACGTGCTGAGTCGACCAAAATTGTAATTGGTCGACTTGATTTTTTTCCACCTCAATTTACAGTCTATGGTTAATTTCATCAGGAATAATGTACCAAGTGATAATGAGGGTGTTTTCAGAGCACTCCCATTACACAGGTAACTGTCTCAGGACCCCCCCTTGTTTGAACCATTTTGGTTTTGCCCAACCCAGTGGAGATCTGCTAGAGACAGGAAGATTGAAGAGTGTCCACGTTAATCAACATCTGGTGGTTCGCTGAATATAACACTTGTGGGAAATTGCCTTCTTGTGCTGATATCAGAATATTTTCACCCCGCTGAGCCACGCTCTACTGAACCATGTCGTCCCCCGCCACAGAAGGGTTTGCCCCCCAATTAGTTGATTTTTGGTCAAAAATTTCAGCATTTTAGTCGACCAAGAATTTCTTTGGTTTATTACAGCCCTAGTGTACATGCATTTTATTATCTGGTTATTGATGGACCAATGCAATAACTAGATTTTTTTTAACTTTATCATGCCTGAAATTAAAGTGGCTTGGAAAACAGATCAATCTGTTCTTTGTGAATCCAACCATTAGTGTGAGTAACTTTCTGCTCTAATCTGCCACCAACAAGCAGCATGACACAGTGAAGAGAATCCAGCAGAGTCTCACCGAGCCAGGCGGCGTCTCCCACTTCAGCTTGATCTCTCCGTTGACGTTGGAGGTGTTGCAGGTGAGGGAGAGACTCTCCCCACGGGTGAGGATGACTCTTTTGGGCGCCAGCATCTCGATCACAGGAGGAGTGGCAGGGACTGAGGGGGGAACCCAAGGAGCCTTTAATCCCTGAGATAAGTACCTTCATGTAATTGTCAAGGTGCATTTACGCTTCTTTACCTGGTCTAACAGTCAGGAAGTAGTCATGTGACCTGACTGGCTCTTCCCTGAGCCTTCCTGTGCACACATAGCAGCCTTCGTAGGCCTTCTGCGTGTTGTGGATGGTGATGCCTTGCTCCAGGCTTGCAGAATACTGGAGACCAGAGGCCAGATCTGTTCTGGAACATGTTTCCAGGCGCAGGTTGTCCAGACTTGGATCAGTTGCCAGGCAGGGGATGGAAGCAGCATCTCCCACACGAGTGAGAATTTTGAACACCATTGATTTTCTGAAAGGATTGTCAGGATCTGCCAAAAACAAGCAAAAAACACAATTGCACTTCAAGAGCTTCAGAGCTGAGAGCGAGGCTGCACAGCGAGAACTCGGCTTAAGTTTATGACATAATAAAACAGCATTTTAGTGTTAAACATTAATCAAGTTCTGCTTTTTGACTTCTTGCCAGATTATTGCTATGATTTGTTATGTCTTAATTAATGATATATGGTGGCGGAAGTCCATAAATATAACGAAGATCCACTTTATTTTTGGCAGGCAGCAACATTGACACAATCAATTATTAACTTTCTGCAGAGAACTTTTCACTTTAGATGGTCGGGTTGGCTTTTATATATTCAAATTGCCTCGACCTGCCAGCACCCAACGAATGCATCAGACTCAGAGGTGCTTTGTCTCCATGTAGCCAGGTGTTCAACCAAATTGATTAACACTGGGCTGAAATTATGCAATGGATAAAATGAGTTTCTGTGCGATTACACCCACTTCTTTTGTGCCAATATTAGAGAAGACGTTTGCTGCACGGAGATTAACAGTTGGTGCTTCTAATTCTCCAGTTGGTGCCGTTACACCAGTGCAGAAGGAGGAGGTCATAACGAGATAATTTAATTAAAAGTTCAGTTGAAACCATGTTATAGTTTTTATCCCCCAAACTTTCAAAGACGCCGTGTGGTTTATTTCTTTTTAACCTCGAGCAGCCACGGAGCTGTTTATCTGCCTGTGCATCCTTGTTTTGTTTGTCTTGTGCATGAGCACGAGGATGCACATGTCCATGTTTTCACACTACTACACTGAGCCACAAGTGACAATAACACGCTAAGAAACTCACCAGTGTGCTAACAAAGACGAATATAAGGCACTCTGCCAGCTTTTAAACCTGGATGTCAACGATGCAGGATTAGAATATTTCAACAGCAGGCTTTGAAATGTTTTACAAGCAGTAAATTCATGAGGTGTTTAATGTTTTATGAATACACGCAGCATGTTTATTGAGTAACTCTGACAGTGTCTATGCAACTTTGAAGCCACATGCTTCATGATGATTGAGCTGAATTCAACTTCATTTTGTTCCCAACAAATGTTACAAAATCTTTCAACACTTTCAATCTTGGCCCAGCAAAAAAAGAACAACTTCATCCATGTTTTGGAGAGACTGTTTTGCATCTCGCTCAGATATTTATGCACAAATTCTGAAATTTTTGACACAAAAACATTTGGATTAAACTAAACTTCCCCCCTGAACAGTTCTCACTTGCACAGCAGAGCCTGAATCTGAAGGAACTGAGTGTGTTTTAGTGTGTGTGCTCATTCTTCTGTAGTGTTTTGCTGCGCTTTTAACACACACACACACCAGTTGCTGCTCAGTTTTGTTTCGGTCCACAGAACTCTGGGGGCTGTAGTATCGAACCACACTTGCTGTTACTATGGCAGCTTGAGTGTCGCCAAATCAGACAGAGCACAAATCTTCAGGATTAAAACTTTAAATCTAATAATTCCACCAGTTTTTATGTCCAAATTTGCAGAATAAACAAGCACAAAGGCGGATCTGTTATCAAGCCGGAGTTATCTTAACACAGAGATCCACCCTGCAGAGACAAAGCTTTCTTTGTTTACCTGCACAAGTTCCCCCAGCAGAGTAAATATTTTTTGATAATACTACATCCAAAGGCTCTCATCTACAAAGTCTTAAGTGTTCGCGGCCTCAGAAATGGATGTGTGAATAGTGGAGTGAGTGATCAGCACATGATATCAGCCTGCAGGAATGGCAGCCGGCCAAGGGGATGTAGAGTCACAGAGAGAAGGAAATACAGTAGAACTCAGTCATGCACTTGATAAACAGCCGCAGTATCTATTGTACCTGTCCAGGGCAAAGTTACCAACACCTTTTTTTTGCACACACACCCACACACACTGATCTCTCTGCAGAGAGAAGCAGCAACAGACTCCTTTGGCTCTAACCTGCAGTCTACTTTCTCCAAGACTCATTTCTCCTTTCTGTTATCCCACAAACAAACACCTGATCTTTAACACATCAGATCATCTGAACACCCTCAAACCTAACATCCTAACATTCTGCTACCTTTCACATAGACGTAGATGGAGGTCTGCTCCCCCGAGCTCTCCTCCAGGCAAATGAAGCGTCCCATGTGAACAGGCTGAGCCTTAGGGATGTGCAGAATGGACATCCCGTCGCTCTTCTTCTCCCCCCGCACCCTCAGCCGGTCTTCCCGCTGCCACTGCATCGCCTTCTCACCCTGACAGCGCAGCTCGAAGGGTTGGCTGAGCATGACGATGATGTGGGAGTCAGCAGGGGTGATGGTGGGCTTTGTGTCACCTGTGAGGGAAACAAAAAGAGAAATCCACTGCATACCAAACACACAAAAGCTGGAACCAAAATCACAGTAGGATAACTTTAAAAAGTTATGAATGAGCAACTTGACGGAGAAACTCTTGCATGATTAAGAAGACCACAACGCAGTTGCTAAATAAATGCACTCAAATGTTTAAAGTCTAAAACCTATTGCACAAATCTTACCTTTTAAATATAATAAAAATCAAAGTTTAGCCACGCAACAGGAGTGATATACTGCTGGCATTTTCTCACCAAAGCCCACATCAGATCAGGGCTGCTTGACCAGTCACAAATTCATCATAGCTGGAATGTAAGCATTTGGAATAAACACATCACAACAGTCTGAATTCATCACAATGTGAGAATATAATTCATGCTTTTTAACTCAGCATGGGCTGGATGGAGATCTTGTGCTTTCAAACCATTTTTCTGCAGTTGAATGAAGCCTTATGAGCATCCTGAGTAATTGATGAGAATTTTGTGGAAGGAAAGAATGCTTTATGAATTCTTTTTGAGTTTAAGAGGAACGCTTCGGTCATTCATTGCACATTTTCTAAGTAACTGTTTTATTAGACAATTTAATAGCGTGTTGCATTGTTGTTTAATATCATGCAGGTTGTATCCAGAGGTTTTTACAACTCAACAACCAGCAGCAAACTAAATGAGACCTCTGAGCGTAAGCAGGCCCTTTCCTCCGGACATCATCAAAAGACAGGGTTTATAGCTGCCCATATGTGCAGACTGAAAGAATCAGATACCTTTACAAAGTCAAATACCAGAAAGGAGGGCTGTGAGTTTCACGATTCATTCTTGATTCACCTTGGTCTTTTTTCATGACTAAATTAAGTCTATTTACTGTGACAAAATGACAGGAAATCTTGTTAAAATCTCCCACATACCAATCTAACATCTTCAATATGCTTCTTTTAAGAGTTCAGACCACAAACACTTCTTCATGTACCATAAATAACAAAGAAAGGCTGCAAAATCTACAAACTGAGGAGTCTGGAACCAGCAGATATCTCACATTGTTGCCTTGAAATGGCTTAAACAGATCAATCCCGTTCACATACGATAGATTTTCGTTAACTGCAGCTCAGACAAATGTTTTGAGCCTCAAAGCAAACAAAGAAAAGTTACAGCTGCACAGTGTGAGCGAGGCTGAGCAGTTCAACTTATGAGCCTATCAGTATTGTCAGGGTTTCAGAGATATGAACTGCTATAAATCTTCAGGTAAGATGAAAAAATAACACAAAGAGAGACAGACTCATCCTATGGCCAATCTGATTTATCTCCAGACCTCCGGCAGAGTTTTGGCTTGTAGGCTGCGAATAATCTTGTTAAAGGTTTGTCGACATCAGGGACTCATGAGCAATAAATCCTGATCATTTGAAATAACAGAAACATTATCCATATTTTATCTGCAGCTCTAAGGAGAAACCCTATCCACCTGCATTTTTGTTCATAGATTCTGACCATGTAATAACAAGAATAAAACCCTCCATCTTGAAACAACTCAGCAAGCAAATGAAGTCAAGCTGCAATAAGAGAAAACAGCTTTTTCAACATTTTATCTAGCACCATAGTAAAAACAAATGAAGGGTTATATTTCTGCCGGTCAGAGCGACCCAGAGTGAAATTTGCATCACCAACTCAAAACAGGTGGAGAAAGGGAGTTTTTACAGGATTGTGCAGACTGCGAAACTGGCTGCAACTGACAAAAACATCACTGCCTTAACCTCGCAGAGATAAGAAATTCAGACATTCATTCCTAAATTCATCCCTTCAATCTGCACTGTTCTTCCTGCTGTCTGATGGGTGTGGTGGTTTGCTGGATCCATTAGAAACACTTAAATTCGTAGAATCACTGAACAGCAAACAACAATGTATCATTATAGAGATGGGTCTATTTAGAGACTGCTAATAACTATGCTGGTCCCTGTGTTTGCACAGCCTCAGCGCTCATGCGTAAATATTTGGCTAACAACTGCGGAATTTAACGTAAAGATTGGGTTGACAGCGTGACGGGGAGGAGCTAAAAACACGATTTACGACTTCTCCATGTGGGTTCTGTTCTATTAATTTAACTATGAATGTGTGTATCGATGAGATCATCTCAGAGCTCAGGAGAAAAAAAAAGTTAATTAGGTCTGTAAGCTGTTGACGCGCTCGAGGCAAACTTCATTGTGTATCTAACGCTGTCACCTGACAGACAAGCCCGTGCAATGTGGCACTCATTCAGATTTCCTGATGATATCAACATGACACAGTTTTTGGATCATGCCGGGATCAGATGGAAAAAGGCGCAGAAAACTGAGTCCACCTGATGCGCAATGAGCTGCACCAGCTTCTCGGACGCGCTGGAATACACAAGAACCAGTAAGCCTGTGTGCGCACTCTGTTAGAATAGCTTTCCATAAATTTGCGTTTTCTCATCAGGAAATTCCCCAGACGTTGTTTCCTTCTCTGATAAGAAGCTGGGGTTGTGGGAAAGACGCGCGCAACAACAGACCGAAAAGCCATCCGAATGAAAGTCCTCGTAAAGCACACGCACCGTGTCAGATTCTTGTGTAAAAATACCATTACGATTTTATGGGCCGTGACCTCCACAGACACGCTTTAAAGATGCTGCCAAAATGTAATAGCTGCAACATGTCACCAAAATCCACCAGAACTTCAAACCTCAAGAAAAAAAGAATATATATGAAACACTTTAAGTAACACATGTGACAATGTTTACACAAGCGATGAGAAATTACTCTAGAGGCTCCGGGACGGACCAGCAGCTCGTTTGCATGCTTCCCAAGAATTAGGTGCTGTCGAAACATTTTCATACTAACGGTTATGCGCTTTATCTCGCGGAGCCTGCGCCCCCATCGAGCCACTACATAGTCAAATTTATTCAGCATCCCACTCTATCCCCACCGTGTGATTACTTTTTTGTTTATGGCACCCTGCTGTTCCCGACTAAAACATGAATTATTAAAGTTGCATCCAGATCATGAGCCAAAGTATCAGCTTCCCTCATCGGGTTTCAAAGACTTTAGGTCCACTCATCGGTTGCGTTCACTGCACCGTCTCTCACCGACAAAGAAAAGTGCAGAAACGCGCAATAAAAACGATGTATGTTACTGAGCTGAGAGGAGATGAATAGCAGCACTCATTAAAAGATAATCGAGCCTCTGGCTAGAGCGAGCAGCAACAAGTTTCGTGTGCAAAGTGCAAACGTCTTACCTGGACGGAGGGTTAACTGTAGAAAGACAGACAGTAGTATCCAGTGATATTCCATAGTTATTATTCCATGGGTCTTGCTGTGAAGGTGAGCCAGTTCCTGTAAGATAAACGAAGCTTTGGTCTGTTCGCTGAGCGCGTCGGAGTTGAGGGAAGTAGACTGCGGGCTCGGAGAGAGACGCGCTCACAAGTGTTTACAGGCACAGATGCGCAGTAGAGCTCGCAACAGCAGCAGCAGCCGTCGTCTTTCTGCGATCATGCTGTTCTCCAGGAGCGCGCCAGAGGGACCGGTGCTGGCAGGGCAGGTACCTCTGACTGACTGAGGCGTCAACAACATGTTTTCAGGAGCCAGTGGAGGAGCCTATTACTCACACGGTGCGCGAGGAGAGGGAGGGGACAAACCAGCTCCAGGCGCACACACTGAGACAAAGATCCTGTGCTCTTTTTACATGATCTTGTTTGGCAAATTACCGGACTAAACATCATGACATCATTGACAAACGTTCAAAATAAACACATCTCAAAGGGGGATAATAATTCTTCCAAAGTTTAGACAGATTTCCACCTGATGCATCTTTTTGTTTTGTTTTTTTCCCACCACAACACTCTTGGAGTCATTTTAGTGAAATAAAAACCCTCTAAATTGATTCTGGGACGCCACATAACGAGGTCTTTGTCTTCGCCTCCTCCTGCTGATACCACACCACCGTTTTTGAACCCTGGCACGCGCTCAGGCCCCACAGCTGGCTTGGTGCTCCGCCATGATGGCTGTTTCTGATGCTGCACTTTTAGAGAAACTATATACCTCATCTTCTTCCGAAAAAGACGTCTTTACGCACAGTCTACAAAGGCTGTACCTGTACCTGCTTAGTACCTGCTTTGCCAATGCCAATATTTGACTTAAGTAACCATCCGAATGTGAAGCTTTTAGTATCAATGTGGTTTTGAAGTTTTCTGCTGAGGTTTTTTGTTTGCTCTCTCAAAGTGAATGTTCACTCAGAGGAGACAAGAGAAAACAGTAAACTTAGCACCTACTGGCCCTCATTTATCAAGCTTGCATACGGCTGAAAACTTGCGTACACCTTGCGTACGACAATTTTGACGTGAGGATCTGCATTTATCAATCTGCACGTAAGCGTACGCTACGCCCAAATCTCACGACAGGTCTGACATTGTGTACGCAAGTTTGAGTCAGTGTGGATCTGCGGTGCAGCAAATGTCTGTCTCAAAATAATTGATAAACAAACCTCAAACTTGTTATTAAGCACAATCAGCCAGAAGTAAATAAAATAAAATAAATTTGATATGTCCTTAGTGAATAGGCCTATTTAAATTCTCTGCCCAGAAACACTGCCACAGAGTAGGAGCGCCTTTTCAACATTACACACATGCGCCACTGTGGAGCGCTGCATTTGAATCCTATAAGGCAGGTAGCTCTGTCTTGGCGCAGCAGCGGGGACGTTGTTGTACACTCCTGAAAGGGTGTGGGACATCATTTGGGCCAGTACAGTTTTGCACAATGTTGCACTGGACAATAGAGTGCCGTTGGCTGTGCCGGTGCAATGTGAGGACCCGATGTCTGTTCACCACCACCATAATCCTGCTCCAGACAGGAGTTTTCTGGACTGCTTTTATTCCAGTTTTGATGCTTCCAAAGAGAAAATCCTTGTTAGTTTCCACCACAGTCGCGAGGATATCCACTTTCAGCTTAGAAAAGTTTCGCATCTTTCAAATATTTCTCCTCTTTCATGTTTGACCACAGTGGGTGAGGATTCTGAACCACGAATATTTTAGGGCGTAAACATGTTAATGATAATCGATTTCAGCCACTGCATTTATCGAGACCCAATCATACGTATGCTGGGAATGGTCAGATATGAACCCTTTCATAAATCTCACGTGTGTCCTATCGTACAATGAATCCTGCACTCAGATCTGCACAAGATTGATAAATGAGGGCCAGTGTCTCTGGTTCCTGAAGTTCCTGAAAATCTGAGAATAAAAAGAACTTTTGCAGAAGTGCAGAATTTGATTAGCACTAAAATGTAATTCTAGAAATCAGAACTAAGATGCAAACTGCCGCAATGAAACATGAGGCCAGTGCAGCATTGCAATAAATTACAGTACCTCAACTGACCACTTGGATCCCCACATTAATATGTCAATATCTTATCCATATCTCTTTATCTGTAACATCAGAACAGGGTTGACACTTTTTTATAAATTGATTAGGAAAAAGAGGTCAGCATGATTCAGCATAATCAGGTGTGGCCTTTTGACGGTCAGTAATAAGGCTATGGCTACCTCTCTAAATTAGCTTCTTTGGTCAGTTTTTAGATATTGTTGAAGCTAGTTGAGGCTGATGTGTCAAATATGGTGGCTACCATCTTTGGGCTTTATGATGCAGTAAAAAGAAATGCTTTGTATCTAGTTTTTTTGTTTTGTTTTGTTTCAATCTAACAGACAGTGAATAAACATTTTCAAGATGCTCAATACGTCTTTGACATAACGTTACTTTTCACACTGAAACTGTCTCCACACACCAAGTGCGAGTAAAATCATTCATGCAAATGAATTACATGTTCAGGTGATGCAAAGACACAATTAGACGCTCCTACTACTCTAGCGGCACAAATGACGCTAATTGGACGGGAGCTGAAAATGTCTCAGCTTAGGCGGATATTCACGTCGTGATAACTAATCAGCACGAAGGTTGCCGGGTGACATATGAAAATGGACAGTTGTTCACTGGTATCTAAAATAGAGGACAAACTGATCATGTCGGTGTGTGGATACCCTGAATTATGTGATACCTTTTCTTTCAATTATCAAAACTAGAATAAAAAGGACCTCGCCCAGGGGAAAGTAAGTGAGGAGGAATTGGCAGGGATTACCGTTGACGCGGGAATGAAGCGAGTAATTACTATTCATTTACGCATCTAGATTCATGCAAATTAAGTGAATAGATGCTTTTACTTGCGCTTGGTGTGACCGCCCCATTAGGATGCTTAGTCCAGGTTCGCTCATTAAAGAATGGAAGGTCCACATAAATTATCAGTTTGACAAACTTTACTGGTTGCAGATCTGGGTTACAGCTTTAGCATGCCACAAATGTAACAAAGACTGGTCTGAGACTGTCAGGTATATAGCCGTCCACATTTCCAAACATTCTGCTAACATCTTGTTAACCTGAAGGACAGTCAATATAGGGTAATAACAAAGCACAACATATTTTGGGAGCCAGAGTGATGTTAAATGGGTGTAGAAGATCCTCGTTTAGGATGGTTTTCGGAGGCCCATGGCTCCAGGAGTCAAGCACCATAATGTCCTTGGTATTTGAGTTACTCTGCTTTACCACCCTAAAAGCTGATCTGACTGGCTAAAGAAAATCAGAAAATCCTAACACATACCAACAGCAACTGCTAATGTGGACCTGCAAGAGAGATATCGTAGCGACATGCTCAGCTTGTGCAATCTCGACTGTAGAACTGTTGAACCTGCTGGCTTTGGACTATCAAATCACATATTTAAAGTATTTTATGTGGACATTTTTCTTTCCCTGCACCAGTTTCAAGCCCCAAGACTGCAAGCATCAAAGTCATCACTGTTGTTGATGATGATCTTGTTTGCTTCTGCATTTCACAAATGCAACTTTTATTCTACTTCATAAATGTAAAAAATCTCCTCACAAGAGCTTTCTTGAGCATGAGTAAAGGTAACAGTTAAGTCTGTGGAAAGAATGGAGGCCAATACATCATTTTTAACTGCAGGCATATTGCAGACATTCAATTCATCAATGCCATTAATTGTAGGAATGTTAACGGTATTGTGTGTGGTTAAATCAGCGTTAGTTATGTGTGTGATGTTCAGGTGACTGTAAGAGCAAATAAAACACGTGTTATTTTGCTTCATTTTTGTACGATGACTACATGTAACCTATCTATAATTGAATGATGGTAATTTGTGTGCACTTACGTAACTTAAATTAAAAAGTTGATTTTAAGGGCTCTATTTTCATGCCCACCGGTGGCACGGCAGACAGTGGCGCACCTGGCGCTGTGGTATTTTCGGCTGGCAGAGCCCGGCGCACAGCCAGTTTGGCATTTTCGTGAACTGAAGCGCACCAAGGTCCACCAAGCTGGGTGTGGTGGCGTGGCAGGGGGAGGTGTCGACAGAATCAGCTGGTACAGTGACATTTTCGTGCTCGCTGCCAGCGTGGAAAGTACGCTGAAAACTCACTGATTCAATCCTGGTCAGGTAACATGACTTTGACTAAAAACTTCACAACCACAATTTAAAGACCACTGATAACACTTGAAGTTGTTAAAAAAAAATGATAGGAGTGGGACTTAAAAGAAATCACTCTATGAATCAGCCCACAACAAAACCATGCAGGGCCTGGCAAACAATAGCATCACTAACTGTAACCATGCTGTACACAGTGAATTACCATCAATCTGAGATAAAAGGTCCCATATAATAAGGTCAGATGAAAACAGTAATATACACCAGTCATTTCTACAGGTAATTACAGAGATCACAGATCTGAAGTACATTGGTGACCTCTGGATATGCAGTCTGGTATGTGAAGTGTTTGTAACGTATTAACTGTTGACTCTGTAACTCAAAAACTGCACAGGATTTATCTTGCTTTCACAGTGTTTCTTTGCTTGTTAAACCTTTTGCTACTGATCCAGACTTTCCCTTGACTCTGATGGGGGTAACAATAACACCTTGTCAAAAACCAATTAGTGAAATACAATGTTTTATTGAGTACAAGACTTTAACTTGCTTGGTTAGAAATTCATAGAATCCTACATTATATTGTTCTGAACCAAGAAACTGAATGCAAATTTACACGCTCCAAGATCGAGACGAAAGTCAAAACCTGTTCATTAAAAAACGTGTCAACAGAGATCAGAAACAGGACAGGCAAATGTGTCATAAAACCAGGAGGTAAAGGTCAGATCAATAAAAGCAACACCGTGTGAATCGGGGCAGATCCTACTCTGACGTTTGACCAGAGGGACCATTTTTTAAGTGAAGTTTTTCAGTTTGGGGAGAGGGGTTTTCCCACATTAGGAGCTACAGTGAAGTACAGCCAAGGGTCTTGGCTGGGAGTCAAACCTCCAACTGCTGCGATGAATACATCAGGAACACACTTCAACCCAGTACCTCAGAAAATGTTAATATTGCGAAGAAGTTTAATATAGGAGATTCATGGTTTCACACCTTAATCAGATAATTAGCTTAAAACATAAAAGGTGTCCTGGGCCTTTAAATGGTCAGGTTATTGTTATTGTTATACTTTGGGCTGGATACATACAGCCTC